ATTTCAAACTTTCTCTCTGCTGCTCGATTACCATTTTCGGCTGCATATTTCACTATTTGCAGCAGGACAAAGTTTTTTCTACCAGAGGCATGCGCAGTAAAGTGCAAAGTGACAGTGGTACAGGAGTAAAAGTAGTACTAGATACTGACACACGAGCCTAGAGCCTCTCGCGGCTGTCAAATTTTAATATATAAGTCGCACCGGAGTATAAGTCGCACGACCACCCAAGCCATGAGAAAAAGCGTGACTTATAGTCCGAAAAATATGGTTTATAGTATTAATTGCACATGCAAGTTACAGTATATCTCAACACGTTTGTTCATGTTGAGCATAAGCAAGTATTCTGATTTGGGAAGGATGAGCACCTGCTGCATAACATGACACCTGACATGAGCTGATTATATTTGTGACAAGCAGGTAAGGAAATAATAAATATTTTGCCCAAGAGAAGGGGGCGCTCAGAGGGAGGAGGGGGACTTTCCTGCTGAGAGGATGGGACGCTCGCACTGGGACTTTCAAGCCAGAGAGACACTTGAGCTGGTATTCAATAAAACTATTTACTGGTCCTGAAACTCTCATAATTAGGGGTGTGCAAAAATATCAAAATATCGATATATCTTATCGTTTAATGTGATTATACAGTATCAATATCGTGGGCTGCTGTATCAAAAGTATATTTTTGGTATATTTTACTAAATCATTTTGTTACAGAGCTACAGTTTTGTTGCTTGTTTAGTGAAAGGAAAGGACATTTAACATTTTCACTGTTTTGATGATTAAAATGTTTGTGTTTCATATGAACTTTGCACAAGAAGTGGTTTAACAAAGACTTTGAGTATCACAGCCATGATTTAGCCTTTTATTTTTTTATTGAACTGCATCGAATCAATTTGAAATATATCGTATCAAACCGAAAGTGCACTGTATCGAGATACATATCGTATCGTGGCCTATGTATCGAGGTATGTATCGTATCTGCAACTTCTTAATGATACCCAGCCCTACTCATAATGTTTGAACTTTTATTTATACAAAGTTGTTCTGTGGTTACTTGAGAGTTGAATAACAGCGATATAACACATGTGGATAATTTTTCTCTTTAAGTTTAAAGGAAATAAAAGCTGTTTTCAGTCTCTGCGCTGGTATTGATTGATATCAGGCATTGGCAGATACTTTGTGATTTTGATTTGATTATGTTCATTTTGCAAACCTAAAAGAAGGTGACTTTGCTAATAACTATTATATCAGTATTTTTACACCCTTTATCTACTGTATGTGTTACAATGGCTTGATTCTACGCCAAAAGTTCAAAGTTTACTTATTGTATTGTAAGTCTTTTAGTGGATAAGAAACAGTGTGATCAGATCTACAAAAATCCTTTGCCGAGACATTTTCCCTTTTGTAAATATGTCCCACCCTTGTTCCCAAGAGTAATTACAGTTGCATTGTTAGACGTACTGAGAAGTTTAGTAATATAATGATTAGCAGCTGTAGAGGCCATTTAATGAGTTGTAATTGAGAAGGCCAGTTTAGCTGGTGTACTGTGTGTGTCTGTGTGTGTCTGTGTGTGTCTGTGTGTGTCTGTGTGTGTTTTGGCTGAGTCATTCAACTTGGAGCAGTTCACGCTTAACCTTATCTGATCACTGTATTTATTGTTTACTCACTGTCCCCACTGACCCAATGTAATCACAAGGACGACAGGGTCTGCATTAGTGAGGAGTCAAGCATCAGACTGGAGCATCGCTGTTTTCATTCACACCAAACAAACATACCACAGAGTCTGCCTGGAACACTTACACTTTGGCTTGGTCTTATATATTTAAAGGTCTTATATTACACAGAATTGACTCTTGTGAGCTTTAAGGCATGTTATAATGTTGTTACCTCATCAAAAACAGACCTGGAGTTGTGTTTTGTTTCATTCACACATGTTTGAGTAATCCTTTATTATTAGTCCAGGCTGGTCAAAGCCAGATCCCAGAAGCTCAGCAGGGCCAGGTCTGCTTAGTACTTGGATGGGAGACCATTGGGAATTCCAGGTGCCACAGTTCGGCCACAGTTGCAAAAACGTTGTGTCCTTTAGTAGGGACGGGCATGATTAGTCGACTAATCGATAATTGATCATTTAAGAATTTTGTCGAGTACATTAATTTCTAATCGACAAACCGAATGTAGGTTTCTGTGTACAAAGCTGCGTCTGACAGCGCAAACACTGGAGTTGCGGCCTCACAGTCCCACGTTTGGGCTCTGGCTCCTCCTTGGAGACCACTGTACCACTCAGCGAGTGCGTTTACATGCACATCTGTATCCTGGTTTCGTCATGGTGCATGTATATGCAGTATCCCGGTTACTGCAACATAAAGAGCTGCGCTAAACCTGCACACGTACCATCTTTGAAAACATTGCGACACACACAGAACAGCATCAACTTCCCTCTGTCACGGCGAGAACACTCATATTCCACTGAGTCGTGTCCTTTAGTCTGACAGAAGCTGAACCGCATCAGCGCACATAATTGCATTTTTTTTTTTCTTTGCTTCGTTTATGCAAATTAGCCATGCGGTTTTAAGTTTTGTTTCTGTAAGACTTGCGCAAAGCTGCATTAAACACATTATAATGTCAAACGGGCTGATGTGGCTCTAAAGTGCTTATGGTTTATTTTAGGGATGGGCATGATTAGTCGATTAATCGATAATTGATTACTAAGAATTTCATTGATTATGTTCATTTTAATCGACAAACCGAATGAAGGTTGCTGTGTGTATCGTGACCAAACGGGGTCCGTACATGTGTCTCTCTGCACTCAGAAGGAGCGAGACACAAACAGTCGGTCAGTCTGCAACGTACTGAAGCACAAATGCATATTTAACGATGACTTCTACAAGAAATTCCACGCTTTTCATTGCATTCGGGACAAGGGTGAGGCCATGTGCACAGTGTATAAAGCAGGAACATATGTTTCGGTGTCCAGTGGGAAAAAGCTTTGCCAGGTGAGAGTCGCTCAATGTCGATGACGAGTCCCCACCTCCCTCCCCCTGTACGATGTCCTGGTTTTGACAAACGCAAATCTGGTCACACTAACCTGTATTCCACTGAGTCATGTCTTTTAATCTGACAGAAGTTGAACCACATCAGCGACACAAGAGCTGTAGTTTTATCTTCGCTGAGTTTATGCAAATTAGCGATGCGGTTTTAAGTTTCGTTTCTGTGAGAGTTGCGCAAAACTGAATTAAACACATTATAATGTCAAACGGATTGATGTGGCGTTAATTCTTCCGACGATCGATTAAGAAAATTTCATCGAATGCCCATCCCTAGTTTATATGTTGTAAAGTTGAGTTTATTCATGCAGATTAGTAATAGTAATAATAATGATGATACTTATTATATAAAAACGTTAATGATTAATCGAAAATTGATTATTAATTCTCCCGATGATCCATTAATAAAATTTCATCGAATGCCCATCCCTAGTCCTTAGGCAAGACACTTCACCTACATTGCCTAGTAAGAAAGTGCGTGAGTGTTGGTCGGAGATTGACAGCCTCGCTTCCGTCAGTCTGCCCCGGAGCAGCTGTGGCCACAGTGGTAGCTCGCCACCAAGTGTGGAATGAATGAACAATGAAAGGCTCTATACAAATGCAATGATTAATTAGTCTTCTGTCGACATCTCCAAAGCTCCAAATGCTCTGTTCCACCTTGTGATGTCATGAAGCTGTAGTTTTCAAGTTAAAAGTTAACTCAAAGTGCTTTACAATCAAGGAACACTCACCCATTCACACACCAGTACACGCCGACACTGGGGGCGAGGTGTTTTAAGTGTCTTGCCCAAGGAAACAACAACAGCATTCTTCTGTAGGAGCTGAAATTGCACCGCCAACCTGTGGGTTAGCGAATCTGACCACTAAATGAATCAAAACACGACTCCGGGTGTTTTTTTTTTTATGAGGTAAGAGCATTATAACATGTCTAAGAGCTCACAAGAGTCAATTTTGCGTAATATAGCACCGGTACCTTTTAAATACCATGAAAATTCAAGCCTCATTTCAAAGTGGGTCCCCTGAGCCAAACTCTAAATTGGTCTGTGAACGGGTGCTGAGATTTGTAATACATTTTGATAACATTTGTTGCAGCGCACAGAGCGGAGATGAAAGGAGGCCCATGTCAGTGTACCCCCCTCTGCAAACTCAATCTCTTTGCTGACCAACTTTTTACATGAAAAATATGAATAGATTTGGTACTCTGCACGCTAATATTTATTCATTTTTGGCTCAACCCTGCTCTGCTTTAGATGATTGAATAAAACGAATAATTTCAGTGTAATTATACAGTGAGATCAAGTTGGATGTTGTTTCTATTGTTGTTGTTTCTGTATCAAAAGGGAGTTATCCAGACTAGGTTTAAATAGGTCACTAACTTGCAGGCCTGTCACAATTTTACACATTTTAAAGCATGATATATCAATACAGAAATAGACTGTGATAATACTGAAACGTCTTTGTCATATTTAAATAGGCAGTATCATTAAAAAGGCCCGAGGTGCAACATATAACTAGCAGAGTGAAAATAATTAATGAAATAAGTCTTACTTTATTAAATGAAAATGGCAAAAATCTCACCGGAAAGACAGTTAGAAATGCAGTTATTAAGTAATGTTCTTTTGTAATAATTTGGCTATAAAAGGGAGTTACCCCTACTGGGTTAAGACGGGTCACTAACTGGAATTTGTTTGACTTCTTCACCATTTTGTGTAATCACTTTTCTCATTAGTTGCGTGTCTCTTTTGTCCCCAGAGTCCTGTTTTTGTTACTTATATTGAATTTTTTATTACCGTTTATATTTTTGCTCTTTGTTATTATAATATATTGTGATGTTTGAGCAAATAATTTCCCTTGTGGATCAATAAAGTTTGTCTAATTTGTTTCACTTTTACTTCTTCACGATTTATCTTTTTGTATGATCCTTGTTTTCATTAGTTGCTTTTCATTTTTTCTCACCAGAGTCCCATTTTGTCTTGATCAAGGCCACTGTAAAACTTTCCAAATGAGCGACGGGGAGTGCGACTTCTTCTGCTTCTTCCGCTGCTGCTGAGGAAGAGTCTCCGGACAGGAAGGGAACCATTTCAGCCAATCGGAGCGGGGCGTGCGGGCGGGTAGGCGGGCCGTCTACCTGTCTGGGCCAATCGGAGCGTGGATGTCCGTGGACATGAACAGCCAGGCGTCAGACAGCAACGAGGAAGACTTCGGGGTGAACTCGGAGGAAGAGGAGGAAGATGGCGGCGAGGAGGAGGAGGCGGGGGACATGGAGGGGTATTACGACGATGTAGCGAGCGACGTCGAACAGCAGGGGGCAGACTCGTTTGACCCGGAAGAGTACCTGTTCACGTGTCTCACCTATAAGGAGAGCCAGAGGGTCCTGACGGAGGAAGTCAACACTGTGGCGGCCGCGCTCAAGGTGGGTTTATTTTCGACAGGGGCAAGGGTGGAAAGTAACAGATTACATTTACTCGCGTTACTGTAATTGAGTAGTTTTATGAGTAATTAGTAATTTTTTAAGTAGTTTCTGAAATTGGTAATTTACTTCATTGCATTGGAACCCACCCTTGTTACTGGGTAAAATCAGATTGATAGAGAAAAAAAACAACAACAATCTGCCAGTGTGGTATAGGATTTTGACCCCGGGATCCTATTATGGTATGTTGACCCCCCTATGAAAATCTATATTTTTTACTAAAGAACTTGAATTATATAGAAAAACTTTGAATATTAATACTATATCTGCAAATTAAAACATATTGACATATTTAAAAGTGTTTTTTGAAGAACTCAGATGCATTTTTTTTATGTCGGTTATAACTTTTGAATGTTAAAAGATTACTTAGTTGTTTAAACATATTTTACTGAAAATGAGATAACTTGTTATTAATTAGTTAGATAATCAAAGTGATGTATAATGATTTGGAATCTTGTTAAAATAGACAGGGCTGATCAGTTGAGTAGTTAAATAGGGGATACCTATGGCTATAGTAATCTATATTGTTTATTATAACACAACATGACTAAATTCGGGGTTGTTTTCCTTATAAACCATTGCCTAAATTGACATTATGATTAAGGATTACCTGAACATGGCAAACTAAAAACCATAACAATGTAAAATACAATATAAAAAGTGACAAGATTGCTCTGTATATGCAATTTTAACAATACGTTACATTTATACAAAATACCAAGTCGTTCTCCGTCAAAACATTCCTTAAAATACCTTAAAAGAAAGTGAATATGCAGCAATATATAATAAAAGTAAATTACATGAGAAATAACGATCATATAAGTGACTACTAAAGAAAAAATTAAGGGAAGTCAAAATCCTATATGGGGGTCACTTTACTATAGCGGTATATTGACCCCGGGGTGAAAATACTATCTCACTCCGGAAATGAAAGTAAATTGCGCAGGCTTGCACACACGGCATTTTCAGTCATTGTACAGAACCGTCAGTCGATCTTGGATCAAGACAAAAAGAACAAAAGTGTGGCTGTTTGCTGCAGTGGGAGCAGGTAGAGGGTGCTCCTGGAAAAATGATCAAAACTCAAACACAACAGGACTCCAGGCACTTCAAAGAAGTAAAACAAAAGTAAAAAATTGCTAGAGGAAAAATATAGTTAAAAGGCCTTTATTTAAATGGCCAAACCCAAACTAACTAAGCAACTAAGCCCCGATAAAGACTAGTTAAGGTCAAAACATGTTGGCTTTGGCCATTTAAATAAAGACTTTTTAACTATATTTTTCCTCGTGCGATTTTTGAAAAAACTTATTTTACTTCTTTGGAGTGCCTGTTGTGTTTTAGTCTGTCTTGGATCAACTTGGATGATGCTGGTGCTGGTGCTGGGCCAGAGAAGATATTCAAGAAGAAGGTGCATTGAGTAATTCTCGAGAGGAAAGCAAATGAAACCCTTGGCCAAACCTCGGGCAGCTATTTGCGTTCAAACACAAAATAGGGAATAATATAATATGCAAGTGTTAATATAGTGTTAGTGAGCTCAGTTGTCTTTAAAATGTACAAAGTTTGCACTGTATCACCTAAAAGTTGATTAAAACAACTTGTGCTGGATTAGATTTATGACTCAGCCTTTTTTACATCAAATAATTGAAAGTAACTAAATAACTTTTACTCAAATTACATTTTAAATGAAGTACTTTTTAAAATTTTACTCAAGTAGATTTTTAGATGTTTACTTTTACTTGAGTAGGAATTAAGCAAAGTAAAGATGCTTTTACTTAATTACAATTTTCAGTACTTTTTCCACCTCTGGACACGGCAGACGGTGCAAAACAGTACAAATCTTATTACATTTTTTCCACTCTGGCAACAGTCCTAAATATCCATCATTATTAAAGAGCCAATATTACACTACTTTCTTTGATCTATTGTTATAATTTTGTTCCTTATCCAAAACTTACCTAGAGTTGTGTTTTGTTTAATTCACTCAAGTTTAACTCACAAATCCTGTGTATTAAGGCAGTTATTAAAAGTTATTCTCTATCTCAAATTGTAAAACTTGAAGACATAATTAATATAGTAACATTGTTCATAATATACAAGGACAGATACAGCAGACTTCACAAAAACATCCAAAAAATGTTTTCTAACAGAGAGGGAAGATATAACCTCAGGGGAAAGTTTAATCTCAAAGTAAAGGGTGTTTGTATTACCCTCAAAAGCCAATGCATCACAAGAAGGAAGTGTGAATTTTTGGAATGAGTAAGATAACAATTTTTTAAAATGCAACACGTTTACTGCAATAAAAAAAAAAAAAAAGTGTAAAATATCCTTAGTATCCTCAAGAATTATACTTCCGAAACATGAGTTCATACACATAATCTTTCTAAAAGATTAAGAGTCGTCCATGAAGAGGAACATAGACACTAGGGCTGGGTATCATTAAGGAGTTGCCGATACGATACATACCTCGATACACAGGCCACGATACGATACATGTGTCGATACAGTGCACTTTCGATTCGATATGATATATTTCAAATCGATTCAATACGGTTCAATAAAAAATAAAGGCTAAATCGTGGCTGTGATACTAAAGGGCTTCGTTAAACCACTTCTTATGCAAAGTTCATATGAAACACAAACATTTTAATCCTCAAAACAGTAAAAATGTCAAATGTGTCGCATAAATGAGTTTCCTTTCACTCCACAAGCAACAAAACTGTAGCACTGTAACAAAATAATTTAGTAAAACACACCTAATACTACTCTTGGTAAAATATCGATACAGCAGCCCACGATATCGATACTGTATCATCACATTAAACGATACGATATATCGATATTCCGATATTTTTGCACACCCCTAATAGACACTGTTGTGAGTATTTGGCTGGGATAACACTTTTACTCAATATACAACATAACAATTATCCAAGGTATAAGTAACTATTGTGTGTTGTCAGGCGCAGGCACATGCACACGGTGATGTGCATGTGCCAAACGATAATAATATAATAACACAATAATAGTGAAAGGTTGTGCAGTTGTAAATCAGAAACTGTATGGGAGTAGATGCAATTGCTTCAACCTACTCCTTTTTGAGCCAAGTTTGCGTCTATGTATGTCTGGAATGTAGTTTATTCGGTCTTTTTTTACGTTTGGTTTAAGAAAACACTCTGTGACAACAGCTTGTCATGTCGTGTGGTAATGCAGGTGCTCCTCTGTGATTTTTAACTCCTTACAGTTTCATTAGAATCATTTGGGCGATTTCAGCCGAGGATTTGCAAATCTCTACTGAGCAAAAGGAGCTGTTGACTTGAAAACTTCCACTATGACATCACAAGGGGGAACAGAGCATTTTGAGCTTTGGAGATGTAGACAGACTAATAATAAAGAATTACTCAAACATGTAAATGATGCAAAACACAACTCTAGGTATGTTTTTGATGAGGAACAGCACTATAGCATGGCTTAAAGCTCACAAGAGTCCATTCTGCGTAATATATGACCCTTTAAATGCTCTGTACCTGATCTTAATATCTATAAAAATTTTAAAAAGGCACTTGTTCATTCTAAACAGTTTACTTTATGTATTCTGAGGATCCTAAATATTCCCTGAGATGACTTTATAAGAGCTTTTCACAGCTTCAAGAGATGAGCGTGGAGTTTAGTGCGGCTGTAACACTAGCAGCAGTTGGCAGCGAGCGGCATTCTCACTCACTCAGACAATAAAAAGCCAGACAGAACATACTGGTCTTATTTCGACCTTGAGCTGCTTATACCACATATCACTGCTGTAGTACGGGTATGACAAACTCGGCCTAAAGAGATCTGGTACAAGTCCTTTTAAACCCGTGTATATTTCAATAATCAGGATATGACATAATATTAGTGCATTAATTTCCTTTAGACAAAAATAAAACCAAACTGATCCAGGTGTGTTATTGTTGTTATTTCAAACATTTTGTGACATTCTGGGCCGACTATGACCTGTAAATGGTCTTATATATATTATTTAAATGTTTATGTTTAACCAGGATATCGGATTTATTTATTGTTTTCAGTAATTGTGCCGATATTTACACCAGTATCAACTGTTACACCCCCTACATAATATCACTAAGAAACACTTTACTTGTACATATTTTGGAAAACCACGACATAATTACATATGTTTTCAGTTATCATTTTCATTTAGTGTTATTCATTTATTTTCAGGCTGTGTAATTAATCGAATTTTGATTTTGATTTCAATTTGTGTGTCAAACCATCTCCAAACTCCTATAATCGAGTTGAAACGATTAAGCTTAAAGTTTATTTTGGGATATTTTAATATAAATAAGTATATTTATTTCATTTTTTAAATATAGAGATTGTAGAACAGCTGGATATATAGTTTATTTTGGATATGATATTGGTATGGTATTTGTTATTTGTAGCCTATATTCATTTTTAGTTTGAAAGTTTTTGCGTAAATTATATGTACTCAATATTCAGAGGATAAGTAGTTCTCAGTTACATTTACTTGAATAACTTCTTAAAGAAATTGAGCTTTTCAGAGTATTTTTCAGAGTACCATACTTTTACTCCTACTAGTAAAATGTTAATTGCGGTAACAATACTCTTAAATAAGTATATTTATTTAATTTTTTAAATACAGAGATTGTAGGACAGCTGGATATATATAGTTTATTTTGGATACATTTATGTTTTTCTGTGCTGTATTTCATGTTCAAAGTATATTTTATTTATTTTATGTTTTATACATCGCAAACTCTTCTAACATATTTGTAGACTATATTAATTTTCAGTTTGAAAGTTTTTGCATAAATTATCAATAATAGACAGAAATGAGGGAGAAATGTTAAATAAATGTGTTGTGGGTTCAATTTAGACAGGGGCAAGGGTGGAAAGTAACAAATTACAGTTTTTATGAGTAATTAGTAATTTTTTTTAAGTAGTTTTTGAAATAGGTCATTTTACTTTTACTTGAATACATTTTGACCCAAGTATTTTACTTCATTAGATTGGAACCAAGCCTCGTTACTGAGTAAAATAAGATTGATAGTGAAAACAAAATGAAATGCGAAAAAAATACCCAGCAAAATCTGCCGGAAATAGTGCGGGCATTTTCACTATAGAATGTACAAATTGAACATTGTACAAAACCGTTTGTCTGATCAACTTGGATGATGCTGGTACTATTTTTTTTAAATATAGAGATTGTGGAACAGCTGAATATATAGTTTATTCGGGATACATTTATGTTTTTCTATGCCTTAGTTCATGTTCAAAGTATATTTTTTATTAATTTTATGTTTTATACATCGCAAAACTCTTCTAACATATTTGTATCGTATATTCATTTTTAGTTTGAAAGTTTTTGGGTAAATTATAAATAATAGAGAGAGATGAGGGAGAAATGCTGAATAAATGCACCGTGTATCTAAAAAAATAATAATTTAAATCATCGCGATTTCAATATTGACCAAAATAATTGTGATAATGATTTTTTCCGTAATCTAGCAGACCTAATTTATTTATTTTTAGTCATAAGATGTAGGTCTACTTTTGATGTCTACTTCACTAACTAAATGTGTTGTCTTTCATTCTTTGTTCTTGTAGGTTTTGCCGTCTGAAGCAAAGCTGATCCTGGTGCATTTCCACTGGCAGGTTTCACAGATAATAGAAAGGTAGGACACAGTTAAATAAGACATGCATTTGCTGTTAGTACATGTTAAAATGTGTGTGTCTTTCGCTGACTCTGCGTGTTTCTCTCTCAGATACAAGTCGAATTCTTCACTGGTTTTGTCAGACGCTCTGGTTCAGCCCAGCAGCAGCAGCAGATCAGTCTCTGTGAGTGACACGCCACATTTTACAGCACAAGCAGCACTACTAGACCTGTCACGATAATGAATATATCAACTTTAAATTCAATATGTAAAAGCTGGAACAGTATATTTTTAGGGTATTCTCTGTGCTACTAGGTTTGTTTTGTAATTTTTTGGCTATTTGATAAGATTTAAGCCATAAAAGGTTGAATTAATCACTTCTATAACTCATTATAGAGACAAACTAAATACTTAAGTGCTACATTCTGCTATTTATTTATTGCAACTAATGTTTTTGACAATAGTTTTTGTGGTTTTAATCTGCCCCAGGGTTATTGTGTCAGTGGCATAAATTAGTTTCGGACAGGTCTTGTAATATATAGATGTTTTTTTAACTTTTTTTAATCTGATACTGGATATAAATACGATGTGATCTGCAACGGAGAACTCAGAGTTATTATGCAAAATCGACTTCTGGGAGCTTTCTTTAATGTTATAATGTGAACGTATTTTAACATGACAGTGGTTTTATGTCATCCATGCATGTTTGATTAATCTAGAGATCTCTCCAGGGTACTATTCAAACCCTCTTACAGAACAACAGAACAGTTTTCCCTCAATCAACAAAAGCTTCAGAGCAAAGAGGGACAAAAACTGAAAATGTAACTTATTAAACATGTTAATATGGTATTTTCAAAACAATGAATGGTAACATGGTGATCTAAATATGTTATGTTTTAGCCGTTACTACCCCATAGAAGTAAAATACCACTTCTTTAACATTTTGTCTGTCTTGAAAATGATTAAGTTTCTGACAGATGTGTTGGTATTGTCTCTCTCAGAGCCTCCCTCCGCTGCAGTGTGGCGTGTGTCTACAGGTGGTCCGCAGAGACGCGCTCCTGGCTCTGCCCTGTCAGCACTCCTTCTGCAAAGCATGCTGGGAGCAGCACTGCACCGTCCTGGTCAAAGACGGGATGGGAGTCGGTCAGTGTCCTCCTCGCTTCAGTTCACGTTACACACAGGCGTCAAAAAGCGATACTGACAAAAATGATTATACAGTATGTTTATTCTTTTTCTCTATGACAGCAGTGACAATATTTTAAAGGTGCACTATGTAACTTTTGGTTAATTGGACTTTAAAAATGTGCCTGTAAATGTCTTGGCTCAGGTTCAAGTAATGCAGGAGTCAAGCAAAGGACAGAAGTATTAATTTACCCTTATTTGGGATAATTATAGACTGAATTATGTACTCAATATTCAGAGGTGAGTAGTTCTCAGTTACATTTACTTGAGTAACTTCTTAAAGAAATTGAGCTTTTCGGAGTATTTTTTAAAGAACCATACTTTTACTCAAGTAAGAGTATTGTTGCCGCATTTAAAATTTTGCTAGTAGAAGTAAAAGTTCTGGCTATTCTTCCCTGTGAGTAAGTCTAAAAGTGACAAAACTCTATGCAGATATGAACAGACATGAGCAGATATGATTTTGTTTTTTCGTTTTTCCTTTGAAAACATTGTCCAAAGCAAGAATGGGCAATTATTTTTTCCATGGCGCCACATGAGAAACAGAAAATATTGTGGAGGGCTGGGCCAAAAAGCTTACAGTAACTCAATTCTGCATAATATTAATTGTATTTCTTTATAAAAAGCAGTAAATATCATTGGTTTAACAAGCTGGTAAGACTGGTAAGAGTTTATGTTATGACTAGGCAATGAAAAACTGAGGTTACCTTACAAAAGTCATTAACACCTCTAAAATTAAAGCAGTACAGCTTTAGTCCATGCCTGAGGTAAAATTATAAAATAAGTTTATTTTGTAATTCCAAATGAGCTTATACGGGCCAGTCAAAGTCAACCAAATGTTCCCTGGGAGCTGCACAATACCCAAGTTTGGTCTAACGAGTTTATTTTTTATTATCATTGTCATTATCAGAATCGGTTTTGAGTTTAAAGTCTATTCCTTAGTTTAAAATGTTTATATTGTGACATTGCTTTAAAAGAAATCTTAATTTATCTTGTTTTACTTATCTGAAATCTTGTAAGATAAATAAATAAATAAATATTACTGTGTCCCATGCCACAATGCCCTTAACTTTCCAGGCTGTACTTTAGTGCCCCCAGCTGAACTATAATTAGATCCTTGTGAGTGTGATAAGTGGCTGTGCTCCACATTACTTTGTTTACACGGGCTTTCTGGGTCAGTGTTACACAGCTGTACAACCCTGACCTCTGCTGTGTACTCTGGCAAAAAAGCTCTCTGTGGATTTGGGATATGGTACCAAATGTGTTGTAAGATTAAATAAATAACCTTAAAAGCCGTGGTAGTTTATAAAGCTGAATATAAGGGACTGGGGAAGCATCTGGGTCAGTGTTTACCGGAACCAAAAATATCCTCCGAGCATCGTCATGGAAGTGAAATCATTTGCATCATGTGATCTGGTAATTTAAGAATCACAAAGTAGACTTGTTGCATATGTTTAGAAAAACCTCTTCCTGCCATAAAGCATTCTCATTCTCAATTGTTCACTGTATGATTTTATTTTTAATCAAGCAATCACTTTTACGCTAAGTTCTGATCTATGTTATAATTTTTTCTCATCAAAAACATACCTGGAGTTGTGTTTTGTTTCATTCACACATTTTTAACGCACAAATCCCTTCATATTTAAGCTGAGTTCTTCTCTGAAAAGGAAAACGCTGTGTTCCACCTTGTAATGTCATGTGATAATCCACCGTCCTCACACCTTCACTTGAATCATTTGGATAAATTCAGACCTGGAATTGCCAATCTGTACTGAACAAAAGGTAAAAAGGTAGCTGTTAACTTGAACACTACCACTACATGACATCACAAGGTGGAACATTTTGAGCTTTGGGGATGTAGACAGACTAATAACAAAGGACAACTCAAACAAAACACGGCTCCAGGTATGTTTGTGATGAACATGAACATGGCATAAAGCTCACAAGAATCAATTTTGTGCAATATATTCCCAAAAAAACTATTTAAATCAGAGCTCTCTACCCCCTTTCAAGTAACTCACCAAAGGGTTTCAGAATTATTTGTATTGTGCTGAAATTAACTACAATGCTGTTAATTAAATGGCCATTACCATTGTCATTGTTTGTCATTTTGGTGCCTAACTCTGTGCACTAATGAATGGATAATGATTTGTTTCATTGGCATCTAACTGTAACCCTCTAAGGCTGTGGCTCTTATACTTAATTTTTTGTGAGCACTAAAATTAGTAGCTTTGGCAGTTTTGTTTTGTAAAGGTAGCTCACCAGAGTAAAAAAAAAAGCTGGAGACCTATGATTTAAATATTATAACTTTTTTATTAGATCACATAAGGTCAGTAGCAGTTTGTTTAGCGCTCACTTCAATACAAGAAGGTTCTAAGTTTGACTCTTGGGCTTTTTGTGTTGAATCTGCATGTTCTGGCGCTCTGCTTTCCCTCATCAACCCAAAATAGGTGTAATGCATAATGTAAAATCCTCCAGCTAAGGTAGTCCTGACAAAAAAAAACTATCTCGACATCTTGAGACATTGTAGGACCACAGGTTCCTCAAAAGGTATTGAAGGATGGCTCAAATGCAGAGAATCAACTTCCCTACAGCGTGTACCTTAAACTAATAACAAAACTAACTATAGGTAATCGTAATTTGGTGATTTATAAATATCACAGTGTAAGTTAAAATTTCAAGTGAGGTTTAGATGCCAAAGATAAATAAATAAAATTGCAGATTGAAAAATATCTAAATAACAAAAGGCGGGAAAAGTAGGCAAGGCAAGTTTATTTGTATAGCACAATTCGTACACAAAGTAATTCAAAGTGCTTTACAGAATTAGAAATACATTAAAATCATAATAAAAACAAATCAAAACATAAATAATCTTGAAGATTAAAATGAAAAAAGAGAGACATAAATTGGAGAGAAGAGTGTGGAATGAAAACCTTTCAGTTTTATGCACAGTCAAACAGAAATGTTTTGAGCCTGGATTTAAACAGCGTCACAGAAGAGTCTGTCTCACATGTTCAGGAAGATTGTTCCAGGTTTTAGCTGCATGAACCTGAAACTCTGACTCCCCTTAGTAGCCAGGCTGGTGCCACCTAGTGCCTCCACTCGGTTTCATTTCTCTCCAGCGACTAGGTCAGGATAAAATACACTAGACGGTTTACAAGAACCTCGGAAGTGTGAGTCCGGGCACCAGCCAATCAGCGAAGAGTCATACAATCTGTGTTGGCAACAATTCCTGAGATCGAGGATTTAAAGCCGGAACAAAGAGAATGTTTGGTGAATTTCATCAAGGGGAAAGACGTTATTGCCCTTCTTCCTATGGGATTTGGGAAAAGTTTAATATACCGATTAGACCCGTTAGCGGCGCATTACATACGTCACGACCAAATAGCAGCGATTGGTTAAATAAAACAGTACCTGCCTACCATCGAACGAACGAATCCTAATGCTGCGAGGTCAGACTGGTTCCACGACGTGAAACCGGCCAGTGAAAAAGTACCAACCTTTTACAATGCGAAGACATATCTAGGTTTTTTCACATTTTTTACACATTTTGCACATCAGTTTTGTATGACTAAAGTAGAAGAATAACATGTCAGTATTTTAACTTTTCTGTGTGTGATTTTTCCAGGTATCTCGTGTATGGCTCAGGACTGCTCTCTGCGCATGCCTGAGGATTTTGTTTTACCGCTGCTGCCCGGAGATGAGCTGAAAGAAAAATATAGACGCTACCTCTTCAGAGACTACGTAGAGGTGAGTCACCATCAGCAAAGAACAGTGTGTCACTCTGTTTGCTCTCTCCATACTGTCGAATAGTCTGTAGTAAACAACTGTTAGAGTGTGGTCTGAAAATTGTGGTTTCGGTTTGGTTTTTGGTTTTAAAGAGCCCATATTACGCTATTTTCGGATCTGTTTTAATGTTATTTCCTCATTGCAAAGAGATCTGGAGTTGTGTTTTGTTTCATTCACACATGTTTAACACACAAACCCTGAATGTTTAGGCTAAGTTCTTCTCTCAAACAGAAAACACTGATATTAGGCACTCCTTATCACTCAGATTAGAAAGTATTGTCCAAGATTGGTCCTGGTCTAGTTTATTTAAATCTGTTTTGGTGCAGGGTTAAACCAGCTTTAGTAATGATCCTAATGTGTATTCAAAATAGTGTATATCGAAATTTCAGACTATATTTCATAAACATGATCATTAACGAAGTCAAATGTAATGTGTTTTTTTTCTTCACTGTATTTATTTGGTTTTCATTATCCCTCTTAATAAAATAAACACAAAAAATAAAGCTCTTCTTCCCCACAGCATCTCTTACTCATGCTCCCAGGATGTTTTCTTACATGTTTTTGCTTTGCTTTGTTTTGTTTCTGCAGAGTCACTTCCAGCTGCAGTTGTGTCCTGGAGCTGACTGTCCCATAGTGATCAAAGTCCAGGAGCCCAGAGCGCGCAGAGTCCAGTGCAGCCGCTGCTCTGAAGTATTCTGGTAACGTCAACATCAACAGTCTCATTTATGAACAATGAAATAAATAAACATCCCGTGAAAACTTGTATGGTAAATCAGATCTATGCCAACTTACTGTGGAGAACCTAAACATCAGAAAATTGAATATATATGTAATATATTTTTGTAAACTGATCCAAAAGTTGGCAGCTTTGAGTACCTTGAAGATGGAAAAGTGCTGTACAAAAATGTGGACATTTACTGGATTTGTGTGCGTTCACAATGTGACTCCAAAATGGCCCCAAAGAGGAAAATTGGGTTTAAGTGGTTACGCGTGAATACTGTAGAATATTCTAGTGGTATTAAAGTGTTCTCTCTTCTCTACTGAAGCTTTAAATGCCGTCAGATGTACCACGCACCCACAGACTGTGCAACCATCAGGAAATGGCTAACCAAATGTGCCGATGACTCCGAGACGGCCAACTACATCAGCGCACACACTAAAGATGTAAATAATATTTACCATATTTACCAAACAGCCTGTAGCCTGTATGTATTTACTGCACATTTATTCCTAGAATGTTTGACTTTGGATCAGACTGTAACAGTTTAAACGTAACTATGTGTTAGTAAGATTTTTCCTCTTCTTTTCTTTCTTTTCCTCTGCTTCAGTGTCCTAAGTGCAATATCTGCATTGAGAAAAACGGCGGGTGCAATCACATGGTGAGTCACTGTCTTCAACACAAACTGTTCTGAGAACTTGTACAGCTGAGAGACAACTGACTGGACTAGAAAGTCCGGTGCTACTGTTGTGATCTTCATGCTTTAGTGTGTCCATTTCAGGTTTAGTTTATACAGTCCGACTTTCTATGATAAACATGATCTCTACGTGTAAAAGTGTGAAATACCAGAGCTGACAACTGTCTGTGCTCATACAATATACAACACATACATAGAAGTCCAACAGTCTTTACTGTAATAACTTTTCCTTCTGTTTCTTCTTTACAGCAATGCTCCAAGTGCAAACATGGTATGTAACTTTTCTACATTTTCAGAAATTGGGCAGAAAACTCATTATCATGTAAAAGTAGCTGTACATAAAAAAATGTTTCTGCAAACATAGTTAAAACAATTTGAACTATGTGGATATCTTGAATTGCACTGTCGCTCTTGTCCATTTTGTTCTTATATTTCCTTTCATTTTCCTTTCACAGACTTCTGCTGGATGTGTCTGGGCGACTGGAAGACTCATGGCAGTGAATATTATGAATGCAGCCGTTACAAAGAAAACCCCGACATAGTGAACCAGAGCCAACAGGCCCAGGCCCGAGAGGCGCTCAAGAAATACCTCTTCTACTTCGAGAGGGTGAGGAGGAACTACACTGAATTTAACCACTTTGTTGTGAAATATACATCTACATGAAATTTAAAGATATTGAATTCAGAAAATGTGTCTTGGTTTAGTCTTCTAAACAGACATACCCAGACATAATTAACATAATATATATTTATGAATTTACAAAATGTTGTTCTTTTTTTCCTCTTAATTAAATGTTTTATTTTGGCTAGTTTTTTTTTACTTGTTAAATTTTACTTCCTGATTGAACATGATCAGTAGATGTGACATGACACATGTAGAGGCAAGTACATCCCTGTTATCTAGTGGCCAGGATAATGTTCACAAAGGCCAAAACTTCACACAATAGTTACACCACCACCAGACAAAGCGCAGAGAATCCTACAGGATCATGGCCTCACAATTTCATTCACACACACTGTCATAGCAGACTTTAACTGAGGTAAAACTATGAGAAATGCTTTAATTATTGTCCCATTAAACAAATGATTACAAAAAGGAGAAAACCTGTCACATGCAGTTTAAATTTACAGAGGTTTAGTTTTTCCATTTCACATTTTGACCTTTGGTTTGTCTTTGTTCAGTGGGAGAATCACAACAAGTCTCTGCAGCTGGAGGCTCAGACATATCAGAGGATTCAGGAGAAAATCCAAGAGAGAGTCATGAACAACCTGGGCACGTGGATCGACTGGCAGTACCTGCATAACGCTGCCAAGCTGCTCGCCAAGGTACACAGCGGACTTATCTGGGCCCCAAACCAGAGTCAGAGTTCAGAAATGACTAAATCACTGTTCAGTTTGACAAGAAGTGTGAATTCATCTTTTAATCTTAGTCTTGCACAAAATAATTTTATTGATTTTAATTTTGCATATGTTGAACCTGAACCTGCTGTATTACAAACAAAATGCATTTAACAATATTTATTTGAGCTTTCCCTCACCTGTATTAAATGATTTGGGCCTATAGAATGTTTTGTTTATTTTGGTTAAATTAAATAAAATCTTACACACTTTGTACTAGGGATGGGCATGATTAGTCGACTAATCAATAATTGATCATTAAGAATTTCATCGATTACGTTTATTTTAATCGACAAACCGAATGTAGGTTGTTGTGTGTAGTGTGACCAAACAGGTCTGTACATGTGTCTCTCTGCACTCAGAAGGAGCGAGACACAAACAGTCGGTCAGCCTGCAATGTGCCGAAGAGCAAATACGTATTTAACTATGACTTGTACATGAAATTCCACGCTTTCCGTTGTGTTCGGGACAAGTGTGAGTCCATGTGCACAGTGTATAAAGCAGGAACATATGTTTCGGTGTCCAGTGGGAAGAAGTTTTACCAGGTGAGAGTCGCGCAATGTCAATGACGAGTCCCCACCTCCCTCCCCCCGTACGGTGTCCTGGTTTTGACAAATGCAAATCTGGTCACACTAACCTGTATTCCACTGAGTCGTGTCTTTTAATCCAACAGAAGTTGAACCACATCAGCGACACAAGAGCTGTTTTTTTTTCTTCGCTTAGTTTATGCAATTTAGCCGTGCATTTTTAAGTTTTGATTCTGTGAGACTTGCGCATTAAACACATTATAATGTCAAACGGGCTGATGTGGCTCTAGAGTGGTCACGGTTTATATGTTGTAAAGTTGAATTTATTTATGCAGATTAGTAGTGCAGATAGTAAAAATAATGATGATAATTTTAATATAAAAACATTAATGATTAATCGATAATCGATCGTTAATTCTTCCGACGATCGATTAAGAAAATTTCATCGAATGCCCATCCCTACTTAGTACATATTTATTCCTCTTGAGAAAATGATCATGTTGTAGTGGTTTTACACAGTGATGAATATAGTGGTACATTAGCCTTTCCTAAATTGCTCTTTTGATGCATGTCACGCGACTATTGCAAATTAAATAGAGAGAGACTAAATGGATAATGCAATGTAACAGTTTAAAGTATCCAAAACCAAAATTATTGCATTAATAATAATAATAATAATGTCTTGTTTTTTGCCCTCTAGTGTCGCTACACATTACAATACACCTATCCATATGCTTATTACATGGAGTCTGGTCCCCGCAAGAAACTGGTGAGTTAAATCAGAGTTGCATAATGATAATAATAATAGTTTTTTGGTAAATACTGAGGTATGTTTTGTGCGTACAGTTTGAGTATCAGCAGGCACAGCTGGAGGCTGAGATCGAGAACCTGTCGTGGAAGGTGGAGCGGGCAGACTCGTACGAGAGAGGAGTGGTGGGAGGAGAGGAGCTCAGTGCCAGTGACAGAGGGGTCAGTATGGCCAGGGTACTTTATAACTTTGGCCAGGGTTAGGGTAAGTTTTATATCTGAGAGGTCACAAACTCACGAGAATCCATCTTGAGAGATTTTCGGGCGTCAATACAAACTATATTATTTGGGAAAAACGTGCAGAAAGTTTGTGCATTTGTGGACAGGGAGGATGTCTGTGCTTTTCTCTCAAATGGATTTAACTAAACTTAGATTTTTCGTCTTGTTCTGCTGTTGTGACGCTTCAAGCCAGTCAGATTCAAATAATCAGCGTGACGTTCTGCATTTTCTGATCTTAGATTTAGGCTACTTTTATATTATGACAGGCTGAAAAGAAGACTCAAAAGTGGCGCCGTGTCTTTACTTTTTATTTCACGTTTAGACTAGTGTTTTCGGGAGTAAATCTGCGTGCATACAGTGATGCAAAAGTGTGTGAGATTTCGATTGGGTATGCATGCCAGGCGGCTCAGCGGTGACGCTACGTGGTGATGTATGTGACATAAACATGTACGCGACGTGAGCAGATCTGACCAGAGTTTTGCTTCTTGGGCAGTGTAGACAGAAACGCTACGGCGGAGTGTATTCAGCTTTTCCACTCTGGAGGGTGGGTTCAGATTTTTACGTTTTTAAGCCCCCAAAACGCCATCACCGTCTAAACGAAAGACACTTCTGATCAAATATTTTGTCATTGTTACCTGCGAGCGTTCTCGTGTAAACAGGCCCTTAGTCAAACTTTATTGATCCACAATTTTATTTGGACATCTGTTTGGCTCTGTTTCAGTGAGAGCCGTCCTTGATGGATAATGTGTAGAACTCAATTCAGAATGGCACACATATATTATTTTGGTTTGAGCCAGATTAACTGCTGTATGCCACAAGATCAAATAAATGATAACACTTACCATGTGCTATTATATTTAACATGTGCAGATTTAACAGATGCTGTTACTTTCTTTTTTCTAAACTAGCATAATTTTCCCATAGAATTATTACAAATATATTCAGTGTAGTAAAATTAATTGGTATTTGAAGTTGGTTTATATCGAGTAATATAATATAATATAGAATTTTGAACGCTATGCTCTATCTGACATTTGACTTAACATGCTTTTGCTCCAGGTTTTGAGGGACAGAAATGAACATGCATATCACTCTGAGAAGTTAATTGCATTTTCAATTCAAATTTTTTTGTAATTGCGTGACTAACTTTTATGATTTCCTCCTCAGGACTTGGAGAACCAGATGCACATCGCAGAGCAGAGGAGACGCACACTGCTCAAAGATTTTCACGACACATAAGACTCCTCCTCCTCCTTCTGTCTCTCCTCTCTCCTCCTCCCTTCTGCCTACATCGCTCTCCCTCCATCCCTCCATCCCTCTTTCACTTTCACATCTCTTGTCTTTTTTTCTTTTAGAATTTTTTTTTTTTTTTCTTCTTCTTTCACTCTCAAACTACTGCAGGGTTCACTATGGCACGATTGTATCTTTTTATCCATCCATTGTTTTGACATGCAGAGCTACACTTACGGTTTCACTAAAAACTTCATGTCATATTGCCCCAAAACTTTTACTCAAAAAAAAAAAAAAAAAAAAAACAATGAAAAATTCAGCTACAAGGTTCCAGAAAACAAACTTAAACAGAAAATGGCCCAGTTTTACAGCAAAGGTCCTTTATTCAGACACTTTTAGAGTAAATAATTATGCACTAATATAACTGCTATGATATTATTTCATTCCTATAATAAATTACTATAACACCAAGAGGAGTTACCAAGTACTTATGGATTTTGTTGTATATTTAAATCCTTTGTAGAGAAAAGCAGGCGATATGGCTAAAAATTAATATTAACATTTTCTTGGAGCCAATCACAATTTCGATTTCACTCACTTTTACATTTTTTTATTGCCAGTTAAAGCTACCATTCGTTATTATATTGACCGACCCACCCCTGTTGTAATCTCACATATCACCACTAGGGGCTTTCTACTTTACTGCAGCCTGAAATTGTGCCTGATTTGGTCTGCTTTTTGAGATCTACTGGTAAAAAAATAAATAAATAAACTTCAAAACAGTAGCTTTAATCGGTAAATAAAGTCATCTGCTTCTTCTGAATGTTCACACTTCGCTGTGGTTGGGTAAATCTTGCTGTCACTCAACTCGGAGCGTCGCTAAAATTGACCAATAGGAGGGGTGGGCGGGGAAAAGTCGTCTGTGTTTGAGCAGACAGTTTTATTACGCTGAGAAATATTCAATCATGATATGACAATAAAACTAATAATGGCAGATTTTCAAGTTATTTCACATCACTCACACACACAACTTTTCAATTTGTAAAGTAAAATCTCACTACATTTTATACGCAAATGTTTACTTTTTTAAAATTTAGAAAAAGATCATGTGGGCAAGCGTTCTAATTTAAATGTTTTGAACAAGGTTAGACGTAAATTTAGTCTTACAGCTTTGAATAGAGGACCTTTTCCTGTATTAACAATATTACATTTCATAATATTCTAACTTTATTCTGGCAGTGAGTTGCTTCTGAACTGGTCTGCTAAAATCTTAACTTTACTTTTTTTTCTGTTTTCTTTCCGATCTTTATTACTTTTAAATTTAAAAATATACTTATAGCCTCTACAACAATGACAGATGATCTCGAAAGTTGTTACGGCTGAAGCTAAACTTGCTTAAAAAAAAAAAAAAAAAAAAAACCTTACATAATTTCAGTGTTAATTATGAAATAGTGTTCCCCATATAAACACTAGATATGGGAATGACAGTATTTTCCTACTTAATTTGCATGCCCATGTATAATAGTTAATGTATGTGTATAAAGAAGCTTTTTTAAATGTATTTCGCCACTATTTCACAATTAACACGTTTCTCATTTGCTCTTTTAGACCTTTTGACGATTTCCACTGCTGAGAATAAAGTTGTAATTTTGAAATTCATCTGGAATATAATCAATTTGTCGTAGATTTCACAATTTTTTTGCTTATTTCAGAAACAAAACGACCGTTAATAAAGGTGCACGGTGTAACTTTCAGATGGTGCGTCCTCTACCCGCTTGGGTTCATAGAATAGATTGCATAGTTTTGCTTAGGAATATTCCACAGTATGGCATTAAACTTATCTATTTTGCATTTATTCAATTACATGTGATTTTATTTCTCCAAGAGACTTTAAAAAATTGAAAAAACACTTCAGATTTAACCGATAATTTGGTTTGCTGGCATCACATTTTTGTCTCCATGGCGCGGGATAAGCTTAATGCCAAACTGTGGAACATTTCAGGTAAATAATAGCATTTTTTTGGAAGCAAGCAAGTGGCAGGTCCTCTACGAGCAAAGTTACGCAGTGCACTTTTTACAGATTTGTATTAATGCTAGATTTAATGTCCCAATGCACCCAAACTTTCTAAAATCTTTAGTTTCAAATGGAGCAGGAGGACAGAAATCTATGGTGAAATTTGCTGTTTTACTGTCAGATTGCAGATTTGTTGACCTCGTTTATAGTCAGTATTTCTGTAATTACTGGTTCTGTCCACGTGAAAAACAAAAACTGCAAAGTTCAACATCTTCTGTCAGTATAAATAAACAAAATTGAATTATATTTTCCATGATAGCCTCTGAAAATGGTGCCATTATTCGAACTCGAAGGCATGTCGTAAAGTCTTTTCAGCTGTCAACAATTACAAGATTAATATGACAAGTTTCTGGAGCCCATCCCAAACAAATAATAATAAGATTTAGCATTTGTGAATCATGTGTTTGGATTGCATTTCTTTCAAAACCGGTGAATCTCCCATAGATTTACACAAGCTCCTGCCCTCCATATGAACTAAGAAATACAGATCAAGTTATTTTAATACATCCATGGTTTTGCATAATAGACTTTTCATCCTGTTTTGAAGCCTTAAGTGTAGCTCGTGCCTTTGCCACACACTACAGCGCCCCCTATTGATACTCAGCATGCACAGACACTCCGCAGCAGCCTACATCTCTCTCCACTCACTTCTAATTCATTGCATCGGTAGACGCCACAGTTTTCCCCCCCTTCTCTTTGTTTTGTTCTTCTTTGAACTCGCTCACCCATCTTTCACTTCTGGAAAATGGCTGTTGATAGATAGATCGTTTAAAAAAAATTAAAAAGTAAAAAATACCAAAAAATGTCTGTAATTTTCAACGGTTGTACATTAATACAGAAATAGAGTTACTGAGAGAGTTTTTAAAACCGGTACCTGGCTCTTGTGTCTTTTTTCACACACTTCACTTACTTTTCATACATTATAAATTACAGGGGTTACCAAAGTGACTTGGACTTGAGTCAGACTTGAGTCACACAATGTTAGGACTTGAGACTTGATTTGATAAAATGGACTACGACATGGGACTCGACTTGGACTTGAAGGTCAGTAACTTGGGATTTGTCTCGGACTTGAGGCCTGTGACTTGAGAAGCACTTTTTAAATCTGAATTCTTTCTGTTCTGACCGTAATGATTCACACCAAGATATTGTCAAGACATTTAAAAAGGAAAAAAAATAACTAAATAAATTTCTACAACTTTTATATACTCTGTAAATACTCATATATAAAAATACTATGATTTTTTTAAAGTTCAATTTATCTTAAAAGTCATATAAATTGCAAAAATGTAGTACTTTGATTTAAAGATTTGAAATGACTTGAAGCTCAAAATAGACGACTTGGACTTGCCTGTATTTAACTTGGGACTTGACTCGGACTTGAGGTCAAAGAATTGAGACTTATTTGAGACTTGAAAAACAAAGACTTGGTCCCACCTCTGGTTAAGGGTGTTATTTTTGTGTTTTTTTTTGCTTATATTAGACAAAAATTGACTCTTGTGAGCTTAAAGCCTTGTGAGAATACTGTTACCTCCTCAAAAACATATCTGGAGTTGTTTTGTATCATGTTTGAGAAACCCTTTATTATTATTATTAGTCTGTTTTTATCACGAAAAATGCTGTCTTCCACCTTGTGATTTCATGAAGTGGTCATTTTCAAGTTAACAGCTCCTTTTCTCTTTATTTCAGCAGAGATTGGCAATTCCAGGGCTGAAATTATCCAAATGATTCTAGTGAAGGTGTATGGAGTTTAAAAACACTGTAGACCACTTCCTGTATTACCACATGACATCACAAGTTGGAACAGAGTGTTTTCTGTTTGAGAGAAGAACTTCGACTGCAGGGTTTGTGTATTAAACCTGTGTGAATTTTCAAAACACAACTCCAATATTATAACACAGGTCTGAAAATAGCATAATATGGGCCCTTTAACGTTTACTGACCCCTTGTGGTGGTTGTTGGTTTATTTGGAATTGTTAGGATGAAATTTAAAGATCAGAACCAAAAAAACACATGAATTGCAGTAAAAGAGTAGACTATTTTTTTTAAATAATCTTTATTTTTTTAGCTCTAGGCTGCTTGTTGTTGTCCTGGAGCAAAGCATTACACTTCTTATACTTGCTTGTACAAAGAGCCCATAAGAACAGAATGTCAACAACAACTTTTATCTGCCCGGTAACTGATACTCAAAACTGTTTCCCAAAGAAATGAGTAAACATTCACAAACTAAGCTCCTTGGAACGAAAGTATATTTAGCACGAGCAAATATTATCGTAGTCTAAAAAAGGAGTCCTATCCGACCCTTGACCTTTGTGAATTAACATCTTGTTTAATATGTGGGTCAGAGTGGCAGCTGAAGTTGGCATGACGTGGTGGGCTCAGGTCTGACCCAGTTTAAAGTTGACACGCTTTACAGAACAAATGGCTCTTCTGTGTTTGTGAAGGATACCGCGAGGATGAAGCTGAAGTTTGACTCATCAGCTGAAATTAGATTGTACTGTAGAGAAACTTCTGATCAAAACGTGTAACGCATAAATTAAAATCTAACGTAAATGTGGTGAATCTCTTTACACTTTGGGTTTCTCTCCTAAAATGAATGTTACTACTATTTACACAAGACATAATATCATTCTGAAAAAGAGAAAAAAAAGAAGAACAAAAGGAGGCGTGCCTGACCAGACAGTCTCTACAGATTTTTGTTTGTAAGATATTGCAAAAGCGCATGGTTTTTATAGACACAAACAAAGACAGTGTATGGTTTTGGCTTTCTAAGCAAAAATGTTGCTTGTCTGACAACATTTAGACTCATTTTTGTATGAACGATAAATAAATAAAGTGTTAAAGTAATCAAAAATGTCCCCACAATTTGATTCGTGTGGACAAACAAAAAGCAGCATTATTATAACATTAGTTGAGCCATTTTGCTGCAAGTGTAAATGGTAAAATGGTCACTTACAAAACCCTTTAAGGCTCTCAAAGCTTTTTACATCAAGTGTACCCGCAGTGTACGCAGACACTAGAGGCAAAGAAAGTTAAGTGTCTTGCTTAAGGACACAATGATGCTATTCACCTGTAGGAGCTGGCACAGAACCAACAACCTTGGCCTGAGTTCTAGCTCTATGAGTGGATCTGACCACAAACCCTAACAATGTTTATGTCAGGAGCGGCATTTAAAGCACTAATGTTAGGAGCCAAGGACTGACCCGTACACTACAGTAAATTGCTGTATTTCAGAAGACATCAAAACACTGAAAAGGGCAGTAATGGGAATAGTACTTTAAAAATGTATTTAGTTACAGAATACAAAAATACTTACATTAAAATATTTTGGTATTCTGATACATTGTCCAATCAGAGTACTGTATTCTGAACACTTAGAATACTTTAACATTGAGTTTGATTTAAATTGATAGAGTAAAGAAGACACAACATAAGATTAATAACAGCTTTATATTTGTTTAATTTTGTATATTTATATTGTATATGTATATTTAAAATCAAAAGTGAGTGTGGTGAATCCCTTTACAGTCTCCTAAAATAAATGTTACTATTTACAAAAGACCATTCCGAAAAAGAGAAAGCTGTTGTAGTTTGTTCAATTACACATGCACTAACTACAAGATCAGTGTTTTTATATTTTTCTGTTAAGTTTGAAGCCTATGTTACTTGATTAAATACTGCAATGTACCAGAATACAGTTACTCAACGTGTCCTCGGTACATGTATTTAGTTACTTCCCAACACTGCAAAAGGACAAGAGTATTTACTGTATCTGTAGATGTGGGGCAGCTAAAATAGACTGTGTTCAAATGTTCAAATGTGTTCTTACAAATGATTATATGGTCCAATATTTGTAAATTTATCTTTTGGGTGAGACTCCCTCCACGTGGGAGCCTGACATCATCACACTACAACAGGGGTCGCCAAACTTTTTCCTCCGGTGAGCCATCTTTATAAAACAAAAATGCCTGAGAGCTACTAGTTTTAGCAGTCACAAGAAATTTAGTGTACAAAAGAGCATCAGCAAGACTTAGATGAGGTAAAGTTAGATTAGGGTGACCAGACGTCCCTATTTACCCGAGACAGTCCCAGTTTTGAGCCCTGTGGCCCCTGTCTTGGCAGATTTATCCAAAACCAGTGATTTGTCCCAGTTTTATACAAGAAATGTCTCAGGTGTCCCTATTTTTGACCAATTTGATCCCTACTAACAGTAAAGAGAGGCTTTAATTGCCATTTGTTTAAGTAAAATACAGAGAAGCTGCTGAAAAATGACCAAAACACAAAGAAAATGTGACTATACTGACCCATGTTAGTCATGATTGGGCCGAGTGCAGAAAAGTTTTCCTTAATTTGGCACTCGATTCACAATTTAATTATTACCAACCACCACAAACCGAGGGTGTCCCAGTTTTGTTTAGTTTTTTTTTTTTTGAAAATCGGATCACCCTAAGTTAGATACCGATAAAACATAGACCATTATCCATTCATTAGTGCACAAAGTTGGGCATGTACAATAGTAAAAAGTAGGGGTGTAATGATATACAAGTCTCACAATACGTTATTGTCATGTATGAATCTCACAATACGATATTTATTGCGATATGATGGGAAAGCTCACGATATGATGGGAAGGCTCAGGATTAGGGATGTAACAATATCCAACTCTCTCTGTAGGATATTTTCACAATATACATCTCACCGTACGTTTATTACGATATATTGTGGAGGCTAAACAGCTAAAACTTTTTCCTCTTAAAATGACTTAACAAGACTTAATCCAAAGAACTAAGACTTAAAAGTGCTTAGAACTGTTATTTCTTCTTGTAGTGTGCGCTGAAATGGAGCAAAGGATCATGGTCTATGTAGTTCCCTCTGTCTTTTCTTAGCTAATTCGAAACGATATCACGATATTTTGGTAATTGTTACATCCCTAGTAAAACACATTTAATTAATCTTTTTTTATTTTTTTTATTTATCACAATACATATAATTCAGAAATCCCTTGGCGAGTTACTTGGAAGGGGGTGGATAGCTACAGGTTGGAGACTCCTGAACTACAATCTGAAAATCACCAACAGCTAGCGGTTAATTTTTTTAAATTATTTTATTTATTATTATTATTATTATTTTTTATTTTTTTTAGGTATTTTAATTTTATTTTTTTGATTCAATATTGGTTATTTTTTTTAATTGATTGATTATTTTTGATTGACGTTTAGCATATGGTCAGTGGGCGTGTCGCGGCGGAAGCTACGTCGCGTCTGTCGGAAGCTGGCGTCAGTACCATCACGCCGCACGTGTCTCCGCAACAGCCGAAGATCATGCGAGCTCAACCCCGCACAACACCCCGCAGAGCACCGTGCACCGGAGAGAAACACGGGACAGCAGCGGCTTTATTTACGCGATTTTAACCTCAACACTCACTCGGGGCAGCATTTCGGACCGACGCAGGGTTACGCAGACCTGAGGCGTGCTGGTTCGTTTGGCGCGTTACCGGAGATCTCTGCGCTTACGTCGGCTCGTTTCTACGTAGAAGCGTGCCGGTTTTTGGTATCCGAGTGTGTTAAAAAAAAAAAACAACAACAACAAAAAAAAAGGACGTTTTCGGGGGCGTCATGGCGGAACTCCTGATCAGCGGGCAGACTGGCTACGTACCGGACGACGGGCTCACCGGACAGCAGCTCTTCAACGGAGGAGACGGCCTCACGTACAAGTAAAGCACCGCTACGCACCGGCCTCCTGGCAACACATCGTCCCGGTTACATAATTTACGTATTTTGCATCAAATATAACCTGCATGGTGTACAGAAGCGTAAAGCTGCACTGTGTAACTTTTTGCCTGGGGGTCTGACACCTGCTTGTTACTATGGAGATGACATTGCTCTGCCCGGAATGTCCCACAGTGTGACATTAAACGGCTCTACCTTACATTTATTCAATTACATTGGGTTTTATATCTTAAAAATACCTTAACAAAAAAATAAAACGTATTCTGACTGTGAGCAGCGTCGCCTCTCCACAAATCTGACCTGTAACATGGTCATAACAGAAAGGTTTAATGCCATACTGTGAAACATTCCAGACAAAGCAGTAACATCTCCATGAAGAAAAGCATTTTGATTGATCCTCCACCTGGAAAGTTACACAATGTGTCTTTAATGCAATCCAAAACTGAAATTAGTCCTATCAAAATCAACTTTTCATTTGTCGTTATTGTGCAATCATAATAATTAGTCTAGACTGGTTTATTTATCGTTCAATCAAAACCAGTTTTAGAGTCGGTCTCAAAATAAAAAAACTGATAAAATATCCGCGTTTCCTTGCAGTTTTATACCTGACAAAGCGCAAAATTGCCATAGTCTACTTTGTGCCGTTTATGGTGACGTTAAAGATCCACTCTGTAACTTTTCTGTGGGAGTACATTTTCCACCTGCTTGTCTCTATGGAGATTTTAGATGGGCTAGATAATAAACTTTATGCTGTGTAAGTGGAATAAAGTTTTACTATTATTCATTTACTTAAAGAGATAATATGTAACTTCCTCAGGGGGGGAAAAATTGAAACCAAACTTCAGAACATTTTTCGCAGAGATGTGTGTGTTTTATTCCATACAGTGGAACATACGTCACCAACCAGGAAGACTTTTGGAAACATGAGATGACAACTTCCGGCGGGCTCTGTTCACGGTAGTAAATCTGACAAAATCTAGGAAAAATGAGAAAATGGCCCAGTTTTCTTCATCTGCATGTCGTTGTAGCGTTCCGTTATGTTCGGCAACTCAACAGTTACAACCCAACCTCAGTTTTTATCATTTCCACACTGACGCTCAACTCTGAGCTCACTGGGTACATGTGATTAGTAGAGATGAGGCGCCAAATGCAAGATGATTCCAAACAGCACATACGTACACAGTCTTTATTTTACCGCTGATCACATTTACTTCAGTGGGTTTTATCACAGTTGTTCGATGAGCCCAGAGTCGGGAACTACACCGGAAGTCGTCATCGCATGTTTCCAAACGTCTTCCAGGTTTGTGACGTAAACGTGAATAGAACCTATTATGGCTAAAGGTTTGTTAGGTTTGTGGAAATGCAAGCCCGCTCACAGTAAGGACCCATGTTTTTCAGTGCAATACACATAATAAAAAACATGCTTTATTGATTTAATTTTAGTCTTTATTGGCATAAAACTTACATACTGGGGCTTTAAGTTTTTATTGCTATAATAAAGTACCTTGAAAAATATACATTCTTATTGTAAGCAAGCTCACCTATCCAGAGATCTGACTTGGAATTACACCTGATTCATGGGAGATAAGTCTAATGCCATAGTGCGGAACATTATTGGCAAAGCAAAAGCATCTCCATGGAGACAAGCAGATGGAGGCTCCCCCATAAGAAAAGTTACATAGTGCCGCTGTAACTGAATGCATTTTAAGAAGACTGGCAACAAAATTATTAAAGGTGCACTGCGTAACATTTCTGGTGGAGGGTTCGCTACCTGCTTGTCTCCATGGAAATGTTATTGCTTTGTCCAGAATGTTCCGCAGTATAGATTAAACCTATTAAATCTATAACAAGGGGGATGAGCAGGTTCTATTCACAGAAGAAATTACTATGTTTTTGAGCAACAGAAACACATTGTGATGAATAAAAGCTAGATGGAAATGTTTAATGTCATACCATGGAACATTTCAGGCAAAGTAATAACATCTCCATGGAGACAAGCAGGTAGTGGACCCTCCTCCAGACAATATAATATAATATTAATTCACAAAAGGTGTTATATCAATCCAACTCTGCGTCATGGAACCTTTAAATCTTCGATGAAATGTCAGCAGTGGCGTCGTGTACATTTTCACTCACCTCAACGAAAAACGTGATTTGTTGTTACTGGAAGGCGGTGAGTTTATGAAGCGCGAGTAGAAATTTGGTCCAGTGAAACATTTAACCTTTGTTGAGATGCCGTCACCGTTTGAAATACAGACGGAGCAGTTTCCACATACAAACACATGAGAGTCAAATGAGACCAAACGTGAATGAGTCTGGTACAGTTTATTTGACTTTTACTAGTTTTGGTGGATGAGCTCAGCTGACCTTTGTGATGTGACCGTAAATAATATACTGTACTACTAATACTACAAAAGTACTACTACTGCTGCTACTAGCACTATCTGCTACCTAGCCAGAGAGTAACCCAAAGAGAAAAACAAGCTGTGTCTCACAGTTGACTCCTGCTGTTACTTTTGGTATGACTGGTACTGCTATTGGTACTACTACTACTACTACTACTACTACTACTACTATTACTGCACTAAGTTTATGAGAGACAACTTGTTTTTCTGTATATTGGTTCCATAAAAAGTCGTTATCTCACCTGTACTTTTACACTAATTGAACAAAGATGTCATGCTCAATTTTAGTAGGAGTAACCAAATCATAGTTTACTAGATATAAAGTTATGTGGGTGACTCTGTTGTTATTAGGGGCACATTTCATGTCCAGTCACTGTATTTATCAGTTATACAATTATTTCCTCAAAGCAGTGATAGTTTTACATTGGTCCATCAGCCCCTCTTTGGACAAAATTAGGGAACCTGATAGCATTATTGATTTTTGCAGAATCCTTCAGTTTATATGGTGAAAATCGCATTTTCTGCTTGCCCGCTTTTCAAATTTCAAAGTTTCATTTAATTTATAAGCGTTAAAACCTGTATCTGAGTAGAACATTTCAGCTTATACAACCTAAATGTTATAAAAGACTGATTTAAATCTTTTTGCTTACATGACTTGTATATTGAATACTTTCATATACGCTTGTGTAACGCCTCGAATAATTTCTCATAAAACTGCAATGGTTCACAAACTCAACACCACAGTGAAGCCTTTTGGAGTGAGATTTGAAAAGACATTGCTCAGGTTCAACCTGCTTCATCAGAAGAATCATCCTGTTTTACTTCAAACCCAGCTTCAAAACGTTTCAAACATCAACTGGATCATGCATATGTTTTTGTAGAATTAACTCTCAGAATTCCCCGTCACAAAAAAACCCCCAAAAAAAACACTACAGCCAATACTGAAAGGACAAAAGACCTTTTAAACTAATTTGGTATCAAAAGTGTGGTACTTTGATCAATATGAAGTTTCAGTTGCCTGTTACCCAGCTGACAAAATTGTTATTTAAATTCTTTTAAAATATGAAAAATTCCAAAATAACAAAAGTTTAAGCTGGCCAAATAATTCTGTATTTTCCCATCAGCGTCTGTTCTGAAAATATGTAATTGCTTTAGCAAAAATAAACTAAACCTGTTTTTTATTTCTGAAGTGAAATGTAGCTCTAATTATAGAATCACCCATATATTTTTTTTTAGCCTCCTTGAACTGCACATGATCTTCTTCCAGCTCCACTGAGTTCATCTTACACCAGAACCCACAACATTCCTCACTTCAAACTCTGCCGCTCTCGTTTTTACAACTGTCTGTGAACTTTGAACTGTCACAAGACTCAAATCCACAATCGGGAGATGAGAGAGAAATGGACCAGTCATAAAAACAATTGATCGAGCCATGATTTAAAGGTGTGTTGTGTAACTATTATTGCTTTGTCTGGAATGTTTCACAATATGGCATTAAACCTTATGGCATTCTGACTGTGAGTGGGGTCGCCTCTCCAAAGATCTGACCTGTAACTTAGACTGGCTTGGTCTCCAGAAAGGTTTAATGCCATACTGTGAAACATTTTAGACAAAACAAGAACATCTCCTCCACCAGAAAAGTTACACAAAGCTCGTTATAAAGTTGTATTGTTTTGCCAATCGTCGTCATCGACATTATGACACGTTTTTGACCTCAGCAGGAGCGTTAAAGACAGGATCAGGTGGAGACGTGAGGACTTTAGCACAAATCCAGAAATAGACGGTGGCCCGGACTCTCCTCCCCCAATATTTTTAGACTTCAAATCCCCCGAGTCTGAGGGAGGGGTGGACTCAGGGGGGTAGACATACTGTACATAGTCAGAACACAGCGCTTCAAAACATGGCCTTGTTGGGTGTACACAGAGTTACTAGCATTTGTTCATGTATTAGACAAACAAAACGTCTTGTATTACGCTAAATTTACTCTTGGGACTTGTAAGCCAAGTTATAATGTTAGAAAATCATCAAAAACATGTCCAAAGTTTTGTTCTGTTTCGTTCACACATTTGAATAACCTTTTATTATTAGTCTGTTTACATTTTCAAAGCTCAAAATGCTCTGTTCCAATCCGTGTATCATTCATTCATTCGTTTTTCAATATAAAACCAAAAATAAGAAAACGAAAAAAACAACTATTTTCTTCATTATTTGTCTCCAAAACCAAAATGAAAAAACAGATAACAATTAGTTTTCCGTTTACGTGACTTCTGTGACTACGATGCAGGAATTTTGCACTGCATACGGACTGAAGTAGGACTGATCCAGGTCCGGGACCAGAGCGGGACCAGAGCGGGACTGAGACCAGACCAGGACCACACCAAGGCCAGACCGGGACTGAGACCAGACCGGGACCAGAGGAGGACTGAAACCGAGATCAGACCCAGACCGGGACTGAGACCGGGACTGAGACCGGGACTGAGACCGGGACTGAGACCGGGACTGAGACCGGGACTGAGACCGGGACTGAGACCGGGACTGAGACCGGGACTGAGACCGGAACTGAGACCGGGACTGAGACCGGGACTGAGACCGGGACTGAGACCGGGCAGGGCCAGAACTCGAAGCTGTGGCTCGGACCTTGCAGAGGCTCAGAGTCAAAGCTCGGAATCTGCTCTGGTCCCACTCTGGTCCCGGACCTGGATCCGTCCTGGTTCAGTCCATATGCAGCGCAAAAGTCCGGCATCGCAGGCACGGAAGTCACGTAAACGGGAAACGTTTTTTCCGTTCTTCATTTAAGCACAAAATCGAAAACTGAAAAATTTTGGTTTTCCGAAACAAATAATGATTAACAAATAATTTTTCGTTTTCTTATTTTTGTTTTTTCTTAATTGAAAAACTAATGAACGAGTGATACATGGATTTGTTCCACCTTGTGAGTTCATGTCGTTGTAGTTTTCACGTTAAAGGCTTTTACTTTTACTTCTGTAGAGATCGGCCATTCCAGATCTGAAATCATCCAAATGATTCTAGTGAAGATGTGGGTGGACTTTAACCTGTATTTCCTGTATTACCACATAATATCACAAGGTGGAACAGTGTTGTTGTTTTTTTTTTGTTTGAGACCAGAACTCAGACTAAACATGTGTAAATGAAACAAAACACAACTCCAGGTGTGTTTTTGATGAAGAAACAACGTAAGAGAATGTGAGACCTTTTAATTGACTCACACGTTTCTGTTCCTGTATCTAAATATAATCAGACTTTTTGCAAATCATGTTTCAAAACGCTGCACCCATCACAATTCCTTGTATAGTATCTCATTATTTGGTGCTACCGTTAAATTCTACTATATTTCCTACTTTACAGTTGTATTTTTATGAATCAGCAGTCTTGTTAGTCTTATTTTGAACCAAGTTTTAGACTGAACTTGTCTCTTTCTCTCTTCAGTGACTTCCTGATTCTTCCTGGGTACATCGACTTCACAGCAGACCAAGTGGTGAGAATTTGACTGTTAAAACTGTCAATTTAACACATCTACTCACCAGGCACACCATCTGGCACTGCGGGGAAATTTAGTTTTTATAGACAAGATTGTCCTTAAAATGTGAACGCATATAATTTGAATAAATGAACCATAACATGAGAAGGATTATTTTTAAATGGAAGTTTGGAAATGCCGATTGCTGTTCTCATAGTCCATAGAAAATAGAAGTGATGGGCGATGAATCAGTTGCAATATCTGTATCTGTAGGGGGAAAAATCGCTGATATTATGCACCAGTTTTTATTTTTTTCTGCACTTCCCCAGTCTGTGTGTGCCCATGTCATTCCCAGTTTGTCCTCAGTGTTGTACATTTACACACATAACAAATAATTTTATATTTCAGATACATTTTGTTCACTTTTCACTTGTGTAAAAATACCAATTTGTGAAGATACATTTGTATATTTGTTAGGAATTTTAGAAGATTAATACAGGTATTGGACCACTTCTAGAAAATAGTTAATTTTTCATCTTGTTTTTTAATGTTTAGGTATGATGGCTTCAGATTGCCAAATTCTAGGGGTGGTTTTCAGATTATATAATGTCAGACTCTCAGATGGGGGCCAGCGCCTGATCCCCCTGTTGATTACTTTGTACTTTGCCATGAAATATCTTAAAGATATGTTCACAAGTCTTGTACTGATGATCTCTATTGGTGACTAAACCCATTAACTTTTTATTTTACAGCAAAAAAAACCCAAAACATTATCACAATAATAATTTTAGCTGCCTCTATCGGTATGAAATATTATTGACTTAGAGAATGTTGTGAGGTCTGAAACCCTGCATTAGGCCAATATTATAATACTACTATAATACAGACGGGGTACAGCTAACATAAATGTTGTTCAAATCCACATTTTTGTTGTAATACAGCATGATCTTGGGTTTAGTCAATAATAGAAATGATCAGGTTCCATATTTTTCGATATTTTATGGCAAAGTCCAATGTCATCAAAAGAAGAATCTGTCTCTGAGTGTCGTCACATTTTAGAATCTGAAAACCACCAATTGCTGTAGTCAAACACCGGTGTGGTATAGGATTTTGACCCCACTGTGAGGTGACTCCGGGGTCAACATACCATATAGTATTTTGACCCCCGGGGTCAGATCCTATTCTGGTATGTTGCCCCCCCTAAAATCCTATGATTATAGTAATCTGACCCCCCAATATGTTTATTGTAGTTATTATGATATAAAGTAAGAAGTAATGTTAGTTGACTATTGACAATGATCAGTTATATATAAAGGAGTTCAAAGGGGAGTCAAAATCCTCTGTGGGGGGGTCACTTTACTATAGCGGTATGTTGACCCCGGGGCCAAAATACTACCTCACACCGGCATTAACTCACCAGCCACATTTTAAGTGACTGTTTGACTTTATATTTATAATAACTAATAATCAAATGTTGTGTTATGTTTTTGTATTATTCAGGACCTGACATCAGCACTGACCAAACGCATCACAATGAAAACTCCTTTTGTGTCTTCTCCCATGGACACAGTCTCAGAGGCCAGCATGGCCATCGCTATGGCAGTGAGTACAAACAAATATACTCCCAGATCTGTGTGTGTCCTCCTCCTGACAGTAACCGAACACTGAAGAGCTCTGACCAAGACCTGTATGAACCAAGACCGTGTCTGTTCTGATTATAGAGTAACACAATAATAACAACATGTGTGATGTATAGAAATATATTATTACAAACCCAGGATCCCAGTAATCCTTGTAAAATATTTTAAAATGTGCAGTATTGTTAAAAGCGTGAGATGCAATGTGGATGTTGGAGAATGAAACGCTTAAGTACTTAATTGAACACTAAGACTATATAGTAGTGGTTGTAGGTCCTGGGTTCAATTCTCAGACAGACTTTTGTATGCGGTGTTTGCATTCACCTCTGTTAAACTCTAGGTTCAATTATTGCTATGAGTATTTATATTTGGTTTTGGATTTCTAATGGACCTTAGAGTGACACATCTTTGCATATTTTTATCTCTAGCTGACCGGTGGAATCGGCTTCATCCACCACAACTGCACTCCAGAGTTCCAGGCCAACGAAGTCCGCAAAGTCAAGGTACTGTTACCATCACACAGGAGCGATGAAGTACTCAGTAAAAGTACAGATACTGACGCAAAAAATACTAGTGAATGAAAAAAATCTACTTACTCGTTTAAAAATGTACTTAAAGAGTAAAAAGTAAAACTAGTTTGGAATGATTTTTAGATCTAACAAGGCAGATTTTGATGCAGATTTTTGCTAAATTTTGTTCAGTAGAAACAACTGAATCAATCTTTTTATTCTAGATATTTTTATTTGTTATATTTTTGTTTGCTCAAATTATGAATGTGTTAAAAAAATAAACCCTCAGCCTTTTCAGCAGCTGTCGAACTATTATAAAAATACTTTTACTTTTCAATCCTGTTTATAAATGTAGTAGATTAGAAAGTACAGATACCTGCTCTCAAATGTAGTAAAAGTAAAAAGTATCAACTTAAATGTACTCAAGTAAAGTACAGATGCCTACATTTTTTACATATTTTACTACTTTTACTTTATTTTCCACCACTGCTGTTGGCACAATGTTGTTGATATCCCTCTCCCCTAAGACATAAGATGTTTTTATTATTTTAACAATGAACTATTTTGTACTTTTTTGTCCTTCTATTCCTTGCTGTACCTGTATCTTACAAATAGCCAGTAGCACCCGTAGCCTCCTGCCTCATGCCTCCCCCTTGTGTCCTGTGTGTGTACTGCAGAGGTACGAGCAGGGCTTCATCACCGACCCCGTGGTCATGAGTCCGAACGAACAGGTGAGAGACGTGTTCCAGGCCAAAGCTCGGCACGGATTCTGCGGCATTCCCATCACCGACAACGGCAAGATGGGAGGAAAACTGGTGGGAATCATCTCATCCAGAGACATCGACTTCCTGAAGGAGGAGGACCACGACCTGCCACTCAGCGAGGTGAGGAGAGGTTTAGTTATAGGTTTAGTTTAGTTGTTACTCTTGGGAGCTCTAAACCATGTTGAAATGTTGTTACCTCCTCAAAAACAGACCTGCAGTTATGTTTTGTTTCATTCACATGTTTGACCAACCCCTTATTATTCGTCCGTCTACATCTACAAAGCTCAAAATGATCTGTTCTACCTTGTGATGTCATGTAGTGGTAGTTAGTGGCAGCTAATTTTTACCTTTAGTTCAGTAGAGATAGGCCCTACTCACGCTTACCAAAAAGACATCTGGAAACATGTGGATAACGACTTCTGGTCTAGTTATGGACACTGGGCATTACCGCTGGGAGACATGAGTAAAAAAAAAATAATCAAGATTTTTTTCCTCATGTTGATCGATCCTCTATTTTCAATTTCGCTCTTTAACCATCTTATTAAAAACATGGACATGTAGACTAGGGATGGGCATTCGATGAAATTTTCTTAATCGATCGTCGGAAGAATTAACGATCGATTATCGATTAATCATTAACGTTTTTATATTAAAATGATCATCATTATTATTACTATCTGCACTACTAATCTGCATAAATAAATTCAACTTTACCACATATAAACCGTAACGACTCTAGAGCCACATCAGCCCGTTTGACATTATAATGTGTTTAATTCAGTTTTGTGCAACTCTCACAGAAACAAAACTTAAAACCACATCGCTAATTTGCATAAACTCAGCGACGATAAAACTACAGCTCTTGTGTCGCTGATGCGGTCAATTTCTGTCGGATTTAAAGACATGACTCAGGTGAATACAGGTTAGTGTGACCATATTTGCGTTTGTCAAAACCAGGACACCGTACGGGGGGAGGGAGGTGGGGACTCGTCATCGACATTGAGCGACTCTCACCTGGAAAAACTTTTTCCCACTGGACACAGAAACATATGTGCTGCTTTATACACTGTGCACATGGACTCACACTTGTCCCGAACGCAACGGAAAGTGTGGAATTTCTTGTACAAATCATCGTTAAATACACATTTGTGCTTCGGTACGCTGCAGACTGACCCACTGTTTGTGTCTCGCTCCTTCTGAGTGCAGAGACACATGTACAGACCTGTTTGGTCACACTACACACACAGCAACATATCATTCGGTTTTGTCGATTTAAAATTAACGTAATCGATGAAATTCTTAATGATCAATTATCAATTAATCATGCCCATCCCTAGTGTAGACTTCAGTTTTTATTTTGTGTTGATAGGACTGATAATTTCATGTGCACGCATCCGCTACCGCTACCACAGAGACATGTCCATGTGCATAAACCTTTAAGTGTCACTCCTAATCAATCAGACTTTATTTATAGAACGCTTTTCATACAAAAATGCAACAGAAAGTGCTTTCAGCTTTCAGCGGATTCAGTTGCAGCGGTCTTCATAGCCTGCCAAACCTTTCCATGGGGGATGTGACTCTAATCGCAGCTCCAGTGTCACTCACAGGCAGCTGGTTGTAACTGTTGACGTGCTGAACATAACAGAACGCTACAATAATAGGGAGTTTATAAGAGGAAAACAGAAAGAAGACAATGACATGAAGAAAACCGGGCCATTTTCTCAGTTTTCCCAGATTATCTCAAGAGTTACTACCACCAACACCTGCCAGAAGTCTTCATCCACATGTTTCCAAACGTGTTTTGGTTTTTGTGACGTCAGCGTGAATAGAGCCCATTGGCAATTCTAGAGCTGAAATCATCCAAATTATTCTAGTGACGGTGTACGGAGTTAAAAACACAGTGGAGCACTTCAGTATTACCACATGACATCACAAGGTGGAACATAGTTTTCTGTTAGAGAGAAGAACTCAGCCTAAAAATGCAGGTTTGTGTGTTAAACATGTGTGAATGAAACAAAACACAATTCCAGGTCTGTTTGTGATGAGGAAATTACATTATAACACATATCAGAAAATAGTGTAATATGCCCTTCAGAGTTAAATTTATTTAGTTAATCATTTTTAGTTTAACATTTAATCTTATTGTTAAATCCAGGTGATGACAAAGAGGGAAGACCTGGTGGTGGCTCCAGCAGGAATCACACTAAAAGAGGCCAACGGGATCCTGCAGAGGAGTAAAAAAGGTAATTTATTTGAACACTCTTCTAAAGGAAAACCCAATGTCAAATAAAATAATAATATTTGTGGTCTTTTTGTCCAGGGAAACTACCCATAGTGAACGAGGAGGGAAACCTGGTGGCCATTATCGCACGCACAGACCTGAAGAAGAACAGAGACTTCCCTTTGGCCTCTAAAGACCCCAGGAAGCAGCTACTGTGTGGAGCAGCCATCGGCACACACAACGATGACAAATACAGACTGGACCTGCTGGTGCAGAGCGGTGTGGACGTGGTGGTCCTGGTGAGAGGGTCTAATGGGTTCACACTACAGTACTACTATCTTCACTTTAGTAGTAGGAGGAGTAGGAGTAGGAGTGTGAGTAGTTTTTGCAGCACTACAAAACAGACTACAACCCCATGGATCATGACCGAAAGGGTTTAGGCTGAAATAAAAATATTTATAATGCCAAACCCTTTTAAACAATGATACAATTCCAAGAAAGAAAAGCAGCGTATGAACAGCAAGTTTGCATTTACAATTTCACTTACAACTTACTGTATATAAGAGACAAAATATAAATTAAAACAAACAAATTTAATGCATTGTTCATTCATTGCAAATCTCTATATCTTATCAAAACATAACGTTAGACTTTTCTTTTTTTTTTTTTAAATCATCACTCAGGTTTTTACACTAACCCCTCTAACAGAAATACAGTAGGTTTTTTCTTAGTTCTTATCTTCATTTTTTTAAAGATGCCATTTTTTCCCCCTCGTTTATGGTCATACAAACTAATACTAATGTTAACGAAGGCACAAAAGGCTTATCGTTTATGATCTTACAAAATAAACCACAATGTGAATGAAAAAATGTAAGGAAACATCAATACTGCACTGATTCTCTAGATTAAAATGGCTTTGTGGAATAGAGCTTTGCACTCCCGTCGCAGTCCCGTAAACTAAACATGAGTGTGAAGTAAAATACACAATGATTAATGTAAGCCTACGTATGTAATTTGTGCTGGATATTTTATTTGGCATTAATAAAAACATTTTAAGCAGCCTAAACTTGCATATGTGGTCTAATCTCACGCACATTTTAGACAATTCATTTCCGCTTCTTTTTGCAGGCGGGAGCGGGACAAAATATCGCAGATGTGGGTCGGAGTGGGACTGAAAATTCTGTCCTCAAATTCAGACCTCTTATTTGGTGTCTATATCGGCAACAAATAATACAACCCCAATAATGATAGAGGCTTCCACGGCAACTCCTAGAATTAGGTGGATAGATTACTAGTATTTAAACATTATTCAATTATAAGGTTGAAATATAAATTCTACATTATTTATTGTTGTAATTGCAAACTTGACCTAACCTCATTATAATTTACCTTTAGATAACAAAATTTATGTACTATTCTCATGCCTTATGCTTTTCTCTTCTCTTCAGGACTCCTCTCAAGGAAACTCAGTTTTTCAGATTAACATGATCAAATACATCAAGGAGAAGTACCCAGATCTGCAGGTGATCGGAGGAAACGGTCAGTACTCGCTCGGACCACCAGGGGGCAGATATGGCCTTTCTTTCTCTGTTATAATACTCTCTTGTGTTTGTGTTCAGTGGTGACGGCGGCTCAGGCCAAGAATCTGATCGATGCTGGAGTGGACGCGCTCAGGGTCGGGATGGGCTCTGGCTCCATCTGCATCACACAAGAAGGTCAGTCTCACGCTCAACAGAAAATAATATGAAAGAAGTTACACTATTTTACTACAGTTTTCTATAGAATAAGAATTTGCTCTTAATATTTTGCTGGGTAAAATAAAGATTGAATTAATAAATAATGCTTCCTGAAAAACATACAACTTGTTTCAAAAGGTTACACTCTCCAAATGTGTAAATGGTATTACACTTAAGTTTTAGTTTTTTCTTTCTATCATGTTGTAAAATATGTATGAAGAGGTTTTAAGTCGTCATCCATGCATGTTTGAGTGTTTTAGGCCAGGCAATATTAGAACTGGTTCAAAACAGCAAGACACCAGTCTCTTGCTACCTTTTTTGTTACTTAGAATTTATTATTACCATTTATATTTTTTACTCTTTGTTATTACGATAACGCTCCTGGATTTTTTTGTGGGTTGAAAAAAATTTGCGTCCGCACACGTGTCGAATAAATAAATATTCACGTCCAGACGACGACGGAGCACTGAGAGAAGATGATGTAATACGTATGCCACACGTGTATGTGGTAATTACAGCAAGAGACACTGGACACACAACACTACAAAGAGTGTATGCACATAAAGTCCGTCCTCTTCTGCAACAAACAAACACAACAACCAAACACATGATGGCGAATGCACGAAAGCCGGGGTCGTGATGTCATCATTTTCCAAAAGCTGCGGTTTGCTTGTCCACACAACAACGCAACGCCGACATTCTCAGATTTCACCTGCCCAAAATGCCAGCTCCAAGTCCAAAACTAATACAGACTTCACAGTTTTGACCAAAAATCTTTGTTGTGTGGATACCGCCTAAAGCATACATGCTGAAAATGTGTTTAATTAAAAAAAAAAAAAAGTACCACCAGAAAAATCAAAATTTCACTGCCTGCACTAGAGTCTAATATTACAGTTGCATATATATTAGTTATTAGTTATTAGAGGATAATGATTATTTCTAAACAGTCCAATTGGGAGCTCTGTATTAAAACAAAAAAAAAAAGTTCAAACACTGAGACTTTCTGTTCCATCTACGACCGGTAAATACTCTTATCATTCATATGTCCAACCAGGATATCGTCTGAAGCCGATATCTGACCTCCCAGTATTGGTGCCGATATCCGACACCACCACTTGCTTATTTTCCACCTTTCTAATTTTTTTGTACAACTGAACCTACAGTATGCAAGTAGATGAGAATATATACTTGACAAAATAGTTTTGTGTATGAAAAAATTTACACCAGCAGGGGGCGACTCAGGGGAGCTTTATGTTCATAGTCTGAAGTCTGTCTCTGTCTTTTCTTCAGTTCATTCTTTCCCTTCATTCGTTCGTGTTCATACTGAAATACTTTTTGTGGCGTTGTGTCTGTGTCCGTCCTTCATGTCGTCTTTAGCTCCTCCCTCTGTCCCTCCTGCCATAAAGCTCCACAGCCCCAAAACCCCAACCACTGTTACAGGATACTCCAGTAAGTCCCACCCACTCTGGCCTGCGCTGGGCTCCTATTGGCTGTACTTACAGAGAGTGCCCGCCCACCTCACAGCCTGCTGCACTGATTGGTTAACAGCTTTGCATCAGTAGTGGTTGTGTCAGGGGCCTTACACACCAGAACAAAAGTCACAGTAAATGGGCTTGGGTTCCGGTCAAAAAATGGTGTTTCAAATTATAGAATGCAATAAAAATCAGCAAAAAAAACCCCCAAAAAACAATAAACTGTTTTAAAGTTACTGATGAAAAGTGACAAATAAGAATTGAAATGCAGTGACCAAAAACGTTATGGTGAATCCACTTTGTGCAATTGCCTCTGGTGTGTAAGGACTTGGAGGTTTTGGGGTTGTGCCTGTTCTGTTTTTAAACTAATGTCAGACCGACATCCACCGAGTCCCACTGACCTGTCGTATGACCAAAGCCCATCGTCATTTAAAATAAAACTGTTATCCTGAACTGAAGATTTCAAAAAATTAGAATTGGAAACTAAACAAACTTTGAGCACTTTTTTTTTTTTTCAAATTTATTTTGCCAAATGTTCACAAACTAAAGTTAGTTACTTTCTGTACAAAGTGACAAAAAAGTCCTTATAATATGTCTTTTTGACCTTGTTTAAATTATTTCATAGCAGCATGGCTATGATGATGCCAACATGTTTTATGTTTAAACATCTGTAGACTTTCTTTTTGAAGTCTAACACTGAAGTGTCCAAACTATGGCCTGGGGGCCAAATGCAGCCCTCAAACCAATTTTTATTGACCCTCAGATCTTCTGCACAATTGATCATTGGCAGTAATTATCACAACAAATTGAAGTCTATCACTATATCCTCCAATATCATCACAGTGCATTGTGATACAGACCTGAAATTGCAGTTTTGCAGTTGCTTCACTAAAGGGATGGTGGTTCTGTCTGTAAAATGCATCATCTGAATAATCCGCTGTTTTGACCACTGCTCTTTGGCCCTTCACTTCAAATATGTTTCAAGATGTGGTCCTCAGTGAAAAAGGTTTGGACACACCTCGTCTAACACACTGGAAAAAATATGACTTTATAAACTTGCATGACTTAAACGGAAAACGTACTTTAGATAGATAGATTTTGAAGAATAAATAATCATAATTTTACTCTATTTAAAAATAATGTAGTTTATTAGGAAATGTTCTGACCTCTCCAGTAAACGTCTCCTCTCTGTTCTCTGTCCTCAGTGCTGGCGTGTGGTCGTCCCCAGGCCACTGCGGTCTATAAAGTGTCAGAATACGCTCGCAGGTTTGGGGTCCCGGTGATCGCAGACGGAGGCATCCAGACTGTAGGACACATCGCCAAAGCTCTGGCCCTGGGAGCATCCACGGGTAACACTTCAGTCTATGTATTAAGCTGGTTTAGCCCAGACTGGTTCTACAATGTCTATAGTTTAAAATAGATCTAGATTGCAGGTCACAAAACTATGGTAGGATTGGCTGTTTTTGGCTGTAAGATTTGTTGACCTTGTTTATGGTTAATATCTCTGTAATTACACATCTCTCTCTCCCTTCAGTTATGATGGGGTCTTCTCGCTGCCACCAGTGAAGCTCCAGGAGAATATTTCTTCTCCGATGGAATCCGGCTCAAGAAATACAGAGGCATGGGCTCACTGGACGCAATGGACAAGAACCTGGGATCTCAGACCAGATACTTCAGGTATTGCCGTTACTTATATTAATACTGCTGGTACTACATCACTATAACACATGATCACGTGCTGAAATGTCAAATCGAGTGTACATAGCCTTACAATCTTCATTTTAAGATTAAAGCTCCTATATTAAAGTTAACTCTTGTGAGCTTTAAGCCATGTTATAATGCTGTTACCTCAACAAAACAGACCTTGAGTTGTGTTTTATTTCATTCACACAAGTTTGTGTACATGTAACCCTTTATTATTAGATTGTGTACATCTCCAAAGCTCAAAATGCTCTGTTAGTTTCCAAGTCAACAGCTCTTTTTTTACCTTTTATGTAGTAGAGATTGACCATTTCAAGGCTGAAATCATCCAAATAATCCTAGGATGGTGTATGGAGTTTAAAAACACAGTGAAGCTCTTCCTGTATTACCACACGACATCACAAAATGGAACAGAGTGTTTTCAGAACTTATCCTAAAGATGCAGGTTTTGTGTGTTAAATGTGTGAATGAAACAAAACACAATTAATTAAATGAAACATTATAACATAGCTCTATAAATCTCCATTTTTGTTTTCTACGGTAGTTTTTCTGTTTGATTTTAGATCAAACTTTGATTACTAACTGACTGGTCAATTAATATTTATCTAAAGTGTAGATGTTATGATATTTCTTCTCTTGTTTTCCCAGTGAGTGTGATAAGATTAAAGTGGCCCAGGGCGTGTCTGGGGCCGTTCAGGACAAAGGATCCATCCATAAGTTTATTCCGTATCTTCTCGCTGGAATCCAACACTCCTGTCAGGACATCGGTGCCAAGAGTCTGACACAACTACGGTAAGGACACGCTTTCACCAGCAGGGGGCAGCAAACTCAAGTTAGAACTGCAATAATGATGATGACAGTGAAGTGATTTGGGGTGGGGTGTACTCAGGTCTGCAGTGATGGAAATGTTATGGATGATCAGTGTCTTTGTCTTCTGCAAATATCTTTTTTTATTCACATTTTAGTTAATTAAAGCAGACCTATTATGCAAAATTTACTTTTCTTTTCGTAGTAGTCCTTTCCCCTCACCATTTACTCATCTTTAATCTTTCAAGACGTCATTCTCACCACCGGTACACACCCACTGCTCAGTACTTGCTCCATTCTCCAATTTTATTTTTTTAATCAGTGATACACTTGGATTCGGGAATGTGGCGTTGTCATTTCGAAACATTTCAAAAAAAATCCTGGCATTTTGATGACATTGGGCACTGCAATTTTCTCAGTGGATTTATTTCTTTTATTAAGCTATTTAAAAAATGAATATTTCGATTTAAAATGTACAAATTCTAACATACTGAGCTACAGGTGTCATAATTTATAATTATAAAGCAAACACAAGCACAGTATGTCTTCTCTAAGGGCCTGTTTACATGAGAACGCTTGCGGGTAAAAACGACAAAATATTTTATCGGAAGTGCCTTTCGTTTAGACGGTGGCAGCGTTTTTCGGGCTTAAAAATACAAAATCTGAAACCACCCTCCAGAGTGGAAAAGTTACGCTCCACCGTAGTGTTTCCGTCGACACTGCCCAAGACGCAAAACTCTGGTCAGATCTGTTCATATCGCATACACGTTTACGTCACGTACATACAGTACACAGAAACAAACATGTCGGATCATTTCAACGTGTCAAGCGGCTCTTGATTCAGGATTCATCCCAACAAATGTACAGAATATGCAGAGATACTATTAGTGATGAACAGAGAAGGATCTGCAATCACCTCTGTCAAATTCTGGATGCACAAATTAATCGCAGGCGAGTCAGACGCTATGGACGAGACCTGGGAGAACAAGTCAATGGTGGAACAACTTTGTGGAAGGAGTAGATGATAAAAATGTGTGGCTTCCGTATGTCCAAAAATGTTGCTTTAAGTACAAACATACCCAATCGAATTCCACACACTTTTGCAGATTTCCTCCCGAAAACACTCGTCTAAACGCGGAATAAAAAGTGACGATGCGACGCCACTTTTGCGTCTTCTGTTCAGACCGTCATCATATAAATGTAACCTTATTCTTTTTACTTTTTTGTCCAGTTTTATTCCATCAATAGTTGTATTTACCCAGAATGTTTTTATTATAACCACACTAATTTGAATGTGATTGCTTTATGGGACATGTACACACGTGTTCTTGGACATTAAGTTTGTACATGTTCTGATTTGGAAAAGTGAATATTGGTTTCCACTTTTCTCTTTCATTCATTTAATTTTAGTTTATGTTATACGCTTTTAGTAGACAAATATATCTACTTTTACACATTTAGTCCAAAAAAAAGGAGTTTTAGTCATCATGGTTACTTCAGCAAAACGTCGATGAAAACTATGACAGAAATATTTTATTGGGTGAAATTAATACCAGGGGATGTTGTTAGTTGATCCTGTAGTAGGCGGATGTTACAGAAATGAACTTCCTCAGTGGAAAAGCTCGATTCAGCAGATTCACCGTCAGCATCCGCCTCATGTTTTCACACACAAACCTGTTTCAGTTTCTGTCGGACCACAGTCTACACGCGGCAGTTTCTCGGTGGTTAGAGTGTTAATCTTTCACTCTGTTGTGTCCTTGGGGTTTTCTGCTCTTGCCAATCATTTATTTAAACTACGCAGATATTCATGAGAGAGCTGGTTTGAGCCAGGACTAAACCAGGACTAAACCAGGACTAAACCAGGACTAAACCAGGACTAAACCAGGACTAAACCAGGACTAAACAAGGACTAAACCAGGACTAAACCAGGGATAAACCAGGACTGAAGCAGGGACTAAAGCGTTACTGAACCAGGACTGAATCAGGGCTGAACCAGAGCAAAACAAAACTAGGTCTGAACCAGGACTAAACCAGGGATAAACAAGAGCTAAACAAGGACTAAACAAGGACTTAACAAGAACTAAACCAGGACTAAGCAAGGACTAAGCAAGGGCTAAACATGGACTAAACATGGACTAAGCAAGGGCTTAACAAGGACTAAACCAGGACTAAACCAGGACTAAACATGGACTAAACATGGACTAAACAAGGGCTTAACAAGAACTAAACCAGGGACAAACCAGGGATAAACCAGGACTGAAGCGGGGACTAAAGCGTTACTGAACCAGGACTGAATCAGGGCTGAACCAGGGCAAAACAAAACTAGGTCTGAACCAGGACTAAACCAGGGATAAACAAGGACTAAGCAAGGACTAAGCAAGGACTAAACAAGAGCTAAACAAGGACTAAACAAGGACTTAACAAGAACTAAACCAGGACTAAGCAAGGACTAAGCAAGGACTAAGCAAGGGCTAAACATGGACTAAACATGGACTAAACATGGACTAAACAAGGGCTTAACAAGAACTAAACCAGGACTAAACCAGGGATAAACCAGGACTGAAGCAGGGACTAAAGCGTTACTGAACCAGGACTGAATCAGGGCTGAACCAGGGCAAAACAAAACTAGGTCTGAACCAGGACTAAACCAGGACTAAACATGGACTAAACAAGGGCTTAACAAGGACTAAACCAGGACTAAACATGGACTAAACAAGGGCTTAACAAGAACTAAACCAGGACTAAACCAGGGATAAACCAGGACTGAAGCGGGACTAAAGCGTTATTGAACCAGGACTGAATCAGGGCTGAACCAGGGGATAAACAGGACTAAACAAAGCTAAACAAGGACTAAACAAGGACTAACAAGGACTAAGCAAAGGACTAAGCAAGGGCTAAACATGGACTAAACATGGACTAAACATGGACTAACATGGACTAAACATGGACTAAGCAAGGCTAAACAAGGACTAACAAGGACTAAACCAGGGACTAACAAGACTAAACCGGACTAAACTGGACTAAAAGGACTAAACCGGGACTAAACCGGGACTAAACCGGGACTAAACCGGGACTAAACCGGGACTAAACCGGGACTAAACAGGGACTAAACAAGGACTAAACAGAAAGACAGACCTGAATCAGAACTAAAGCAAGACTAAACCAGGACTGTACCAGCCTTTTATTAGCCTCATTCGTGAACAGAGGCTTTTTTTGAATTGAAAAAATAGTTTCAGTTTCAAAAGGTTAAATAACAAAAACAAAAAAATAGACCACTACTGTGCCTTCAGATATTATTTGGAGTTCTTTTTTTTTTTCAAAACCTGGTCCCAGATACAGAGAAAAACATGTCCAAGTCAAAGCAGGACAACAGTGAGTGAATACTGCAGTAGAGTTAGGCCTTAATGATCAAATAAAGAGCGATTTTAGGAGCAAAAAAAAAAAAAAAAAAGCGCTTAAAAGTACCCAGCTACCCTATAACTGTTACGTACTTTTTTCCATTTTTTTTTCCCACCTGCCTCAGTATTTGACGTTTTATTCTTCAATAATCCTAGTGTTATTTAGAATCATAGAGTCACAATAATTACTATATCGACTTATTGTTCAATATATTATAAATTAAACTATAATTTCTGGAGTCAATATTTATCGTGGTACTTTTTCTTTGTAATAGTGGGAAATGTTTGGTTATTTTTTCTGCAATATGATAGATTTGAGCTGTGTTGAGACTAAATTATGAACTAAAATTACACAGATTAGTTACGTAGGTGTTGCTTTCTATTATTTATATGTGCAGCTCAACAATATTTAACAATATCTTACATTTATAAAGGGTTACGTAAACGTGTGTGAATGGAACAAAACACTAAAGCTTTTAAAATTAGAAAATCAGGAAGACCATTATTGGATATTATAAATGCTGAAACCACCTCTAACATCATCTAATAAAAAAAAAAAACTCTGGCTCACAATAGTTCTCTTTTCTTTGTTACTCTATATTTATTTCACACAATTTGCTATGGTCACAGGCTTAGATAATAGTGACATTTATAACTTCAGATCCACACAAGTTTCAGCCCCAAGTAAATTTTTCCTTCAGGGACACGGTGTTCAAATGCTGTAATATTAACTTTGTATATTTGTCTTGGGTTCAGCTCCATGATGTATTCCGGAGACCTGAAGTTCGAGAAGAGGACCACATCAGCACAAGTCGAGGGAGGAGTCCACAGCTTGCACAGGTTCAATCTCTTCTCTCTTTTTATGTTACCGTATTTTCCGGGCCATTAGACGCGCTCTTAACTCTTTCCCCCATGAAGACGACATTTGACGACCCCCCTGAACCCTTAATGACGACTTTTGACTCCTCCGCTGTATCACTAAAGACGTGATTTGACGACCTTTAGAAACGGCTCGGGTTTTCACATTTAAACAGAGACTGTGATAGGTGGGGGCCACTACAACCGACACTAGACTGACCAATAGGATTCAAGGATATGTTTTTCGCCAAATTTTTTCCGAAGTTAATCGAAATAGTGACGATGGTAGCTTCCGGAAAAAACACAACACGAAACACGTGCAATGGAAAGATCGCGGCGCTGCGGCGCACAGTTTTAGAAATAATGAGGAGCAGACGTATTTTATGGATAAGTTTAGAGAAAGTGACTTTTATAGATTTCAAAGTGATGATGTTGAAGTTGATTATAAAGTGGAAAACAGCGATAGCGACGGACTTTCGGGGAGAAGATGAGAATGCCGCTGATGCGTCTGTGTGGAGTCCTGCGATATCCGAACAAACTATCTGAGCTTTATACTCGATTATGAACCAAAATTGCCCTGAAATCTGGATGTTGCCTCAGGCCGAGTCCTTTAAAATATTTCAGGTTTTTTTCCCAAGATGCAATGTATAACAGAATCGCTACAGAAAAAACGCTTATGCGGAGCTCTGCACACGAGAAAATAGCCAAGATGACAAATACTGGACACACACTGACGGGGAAGAGTTTTATTATTATATTATTATATTATAATAAGCTAAATTAGTTGAATAAATAAAATAAGTTGAATAAGCTAAATGGAAAAAATGAATTAGGTGCACACAGGTGAACAACAGGTAAAAACAGGTGCACACTTGGCTATACTGTATCTGGTGATATGAAATCTGTTTAAATACTTTGACAAAGTATATTTTTTAGTTTTTTATGAATATAGTACTCAGAACATGCAGATATCAGATGCTGAATGTAGTTTTTTGTTTTCGATTTTGCACCTGACCAGGTAAACTCTCATTTTCAGTGAGCTGTTATACACCTATAAATGAGTTGAATCACATTTAAACATCCATAAATGAAGAGTTCAGAGTCTAAGGTTTCCAGAGATACAAATATGTCTGTGTTACAATTAAGTTCATTAGTGTAAAAATCATTTATAATCACTCGTGGAAGTCTGTTTTCTTTTATGCAATTATGCTCTATGGGCAGAACTAGTAACATATGTATGGGTTGTTCCTAGTCGGCGTCCAGGGGGGAAAGAGTTAAGCCTCTAACCGCATCAGAAAACGACCGCGCGCCCCGCAATCCAGAGCGCCCCATACACGAATCCACTCGGGTGTCCCAGCACGACTTCAGTAAACTACAAAGCCGCACCACTCCAATGTGCCTTTCTGAGCCACAACTGAACAACTGAGTCACTGCGAACACGCCGACAATCCGCTGGTCCCAGACAGCACCCTCCCTACACGCCACAACTGAACAAAGCCCAGAGTCACCGTGAACGCCACAAACAAACAAAGCCACTCACCATCCAACTGTTGTGTTTCATTTAACGTCCAGTGTGGTTTATTTGTGAAAAAAGTTCGAAAATAGACCATTTAATGACAGTGCGTCTTATAATCCAGAGCACTAATAGCCTGAAAAATATGGTATGTCCATTTATATTTCGCCATTATACACAATTTAGTGGTTTTTGTAAATAAATAAAAATAAGTAGATACTAGGGTTGTTAAAAATATAAAAAATCTGATAATAATTGAAACTAAAACTAGTATCAAAACTAGATACAGAAATGAAACGTTCTTGAATCGGTTTAGAATGATCTTGAGCAAATATGAGAGCACATAGACTAATATACGCGCCTTTTATTGAGTACTGAGTGTCAAGTCTGTTCTTTAGGATGGAAATTAGGTCTGGGTATCATTAAGAAGTTGCCGATACGGTACATACTTCGATACTTAGGCCACAATACGATACATATCTCGATACAGTGAGCTTTCAGTACGATTCGATATGATATATTTCAAATCAATTTGATACACTTCAGTAAAAAATAAAGGCTAAATCATGGCTGTGATGCTAAAAGTCTTTGTTAAACCACTTGATGTGCTCATTTTATTTCATCAAACCACTGAAAATGTCAAACGTGTTGTGTAAATGAGTTTCCTTCCTCTAAACAAGCAACAAAACTGTAGCGCTGTAACAAAATAATTTTGTAAAATATACCAAAAATACTCTTGCCAGTGTATCGATACAGCAGCTCACGATACCGATACTGTATCATCACATTAAACAGTACGATATATCGATATTTCATTATTTTTGCACACTCCTAAAGGAAATCGAGTTGGAAATTTTAGTGTTGTGACCACACTAGTAGAGATGTGGTGATGAGGGTGGAGTCAAAATGAAGCTCACGAGGCAAGCAGTTTATAAAAGTGAATTTGGAGCAGAGGTCCATGTTAGGAATAGGAATTTATTTAGACAAAATAGTTAAATAAAAACACCAGGACCATGTGCAAAGATGTACAAACATTTAAGAGCAAAATGTCGAGGCTCACAGCAGCAGATACAGAGAGGGGGGACAGTTTTTCAATGTAAAGTAAATTTGGCCAATGAATTAATCACTCAACAACTTTATTAATCCCAAAGGGCAATTCAGATCGCACATCTCTGGTCGTGCACAATCTATAAATAATAAAATAAAAATAAAAACAAACTCCATACATTCAAACCTCAGTGCATCAGGGACACAACAGCAAATTTACCAGCCAGAGTTGATAGAGCTGGTGTGGTACAGGATTTTGACCCCGCGGTGAGGTGACCCCAGGGCCAACATACAATATAGGATTTTGGGGTCAGAATCCTATTATGGTATGTTCACCCCCCTTTGAAAATCTATATTTTATTAGTAAAGAACCTGAATTCTATAGAAAAACTTAGAATATTAATACTATATCTGCAAATTAAATCATTCTGACATATTTAAAAGTGTTTTTTGAAGAACTCACATGCATTTTTTATGTCTTATTATTATAACTTTTGAATGTTAAAAATGACTTGGTTGTTTAAACACATATTTTACTGAAAATGAGATAAATAGTTATTAATTAGTTAGATAATCAAAGTGATGTATAATGACTTGGAATCTTGTTAAAACAGACAGGGCTGATCATTTGAGTAGTTAAATAGGGGATATGAGAAGATTTAATAACACAACATGACTAAATTCAAGGTTCATTATCCTTACAAACCATTGCCTAAATTGACATTATGATTAAGGATTATCTGAAGCATAGCAAACTAAAAAACATAACAATGTGAAATACAATATAAAAAGTGACAAGATTGCTCTGTATATGCAATTTTAACAATACGTTATATTTACACAAAATACCAAGTCGTTATCCATCAAAACATTCCTTAAAATACCTTAAAAGAAAGTGAATATAAAAATACATTACATGAGAAATAATGATCATATAAGTAACTACTAAAGAAAAAGTAAGGGCAGTTAAAATCCTATGGGGGGGGTATGTTGATCCCGGGGTCAAAATACCGTCTCACACCGGTTCTTAGCGCAGTCATGTTCACTGACAATCTGGAACGTGGCGGACACTGGGTTATGTCTGTTTATATAAACAGTCTCTGGGTAGATCACATAGACAATTTCTGCCTTTTTCTTTATCATTAAAAGGGCACTGTCGTCTGTACCAGCCTGTCTGGCATTCGCAGTTTCAGTTCTCACCACAGTCTGGTTTTCAACGTGACTTCCCACACCAGGAAAGTTTAGTCTGTGCCCTTCTCACATCAGTCTGCTGTTGTGGTGCGTTTAATGACTCTCGTATTGGTCTGGATCAGTGCAAATCGGGGCAGCAATGCGAACTCAGCAATTTATATCCTGACTAACATGTATTCCCACACATTCACTCAACGCACATGGGTTTAGGTAAGAGTCACATGAACACTACCCGTCAAAACTCTGGACTCACCCTCTTATTCAGTGTTTTTTTTTTTTTTTTACTCTGGTACTTTCTGCATTATAAATAAATACAGAAGACATCAAATATATAAAGCAAGATTTATGGAATTATTTAGTAAAGACGCAAAAGTAAAACGTGCATTATGTAACTTTGTGGTTGGGGGTTTCTGTGGAAATGTCATTGCTCTGCCTGGAATTTTCCACAGTATGACATTAAACAGCTCTACCTTGTATTTATTCAGTTATAGCTCGTTTTAGAGCTCAAAAATACCTAGAAAAACATGAATTCTGACTGTGAGCAAGGTGGCCTCGCCGCAGATCTGACCTATAACTTAGTCTGGTTTGGTTTCTATGAAGTTATAAAGGCTTTTGACAAATCCTCCACTAGAAAAAAGCGAAGCAAAGAGTAGCAAATTGGAGGATTTGGTTATAAAAAAAACATTTAGTAGATCTATTTAAGTTTTTTTCTTTGCTACATAACTTTGTACATCTTACTTCATGTATTTGGTGTCTTCTGTATGAATACCGTATTTTCCGCACTATAGGTGCTCTGGATTATTAGACTCACTGTCATTGAATGGTCTATTTTTAAACTTTTTTCACATATAAACCGCACCGGACTATAAGGCGCATTAAACGAAACACAACAGTTAGATAAGTCAGTCAAACTTTATTTAATGTGTTCACAATAACTCTCAACTTTGTTCAGTTGTAATGCGTAAAAAAAATACTGTCTGAGACGCTAAATTGTTGGTGTATTCACAATAACTCATAATTGTTCAAACAGTTGGGTGATTACGGCGTCCAGCACGTCCACATCCCTCTCGTCATGATCCGAGTCAGTGTGGTTATTGTTCCCTGGAGTTCAGTTCAGTGATGATTCTGGTCTTGGTGAAAGCTCGGACCACAGTTGATACTGATCTTTAGCCCGGGCGTCCACGATCCGTTCGGCAGATCGTGGCGTAAGTGGCTCGGCGCTGTCTCTCTGTCTTGGTGAATGTGTGTTCTCCTTCTCTCATCCACTGCTCCCACGCAGCTCGCACTTTCACTTTATAACAGCCTTGAGTTTAAAGTGGGCGTTGTGAGCGTGTCTCTTGACAGGTGCGTTTGATATTAAAAGGAATCAGTGTGTATTACTCCTCGATGCTCCTGATTACAGTAGCTGTAATGCTGCAAGTGGTGCGGCTTTGTAGTTTACTAAAGTCGTACTAAGACACCCCAATAAATTCAGATAAAGACGCTCTGGATTATAAGGCGCACAGTCGATTTTGATGAAATTAAAGTCTTTTAAATGTGCCCTATAGTACGGAAAATACTGTATATCAAATGTAGAAAGTAGCAAAACATATATATTTAGTTAAAAAAAACACTGAATGAGAGAGGATGAGGTATGTGCATGAAAGAAAACACAACTCCAGGTCTGTTTTTGATGAGGAAACTTTATAGCATGACTTAAAGCTCATAAGAGTCAATTTTTCACCTTTAAAAACAGGAAATTAGGAAGAAATCATATTGCGTCACCTCTAACATCTTCAAAAAATTCACTTTCATTTTGTTTTTTCTATCTAACCATATTTCTCTTCTCTTTCAGTTACGAGAAGCGCCTTTATTGAAACACCATTTCTGTCCAAACTGAACGATATGCAAAAACTCCACGAGAAACTACTGAACTGAACTTGAGTCTTCCTCCTGCTCCATCTATGCATCCAAACGTGTAAAAGTGTAAACCAGGGCTCAGCTGTGTGACACGTCTCTGCTGTCTGTGTGGTGTCTAATATCATAACGTATGTCCGAATAATAAAGATCATGTTTTTCCATATTTTCTACTTTCTCTCAAGTTTCTGTTTCATTCTAGTTTAGTTCATATGATTTTTTTCCAATGCACAATTTCTAAAACTAGGCACATTTTGTAAAGTCAGATACTAAATGGCAGAGGTGGGGACTTGGAAGTTGTGATTTGGACTCGATTCAGACTTGACTCACTATTTTTAGGACTTGAGACTTGACTTGATAAAATGGACTAAACCTTGGGACTCGAAGGTCAGTGACTTGGGACTTGACTCGGACTTGAGGCCTGTGACTTGAGAAGCACTTTTAAATCTGAATTTGTTCTATTCTGACTCTTAATGATTCACTCCAAGACATTGAAAAAGGAAAAATTTACCACATTAATTTCTATTTTCTTTCTTATATACTCTCAAAATACTCAAATATAAATATACTATGATTTTTGTAAGTACAATTTAGCTTAAAATTCATATTAACTGCAAAAGTCTAAACTGTATTTGATACTTTGGTTTAAAGACTTGAAACGTCTTGAAGCTCAGAGCAGACGACTTGGACTTGACTTGGACTTATGGGCCAGTGACTCAAGACTCGACTTGGACTTGCCTGTATTTGACTTGGGACTAGACTCGGACTTGAGGCCTGTGACTTGAGAAGACTTGAGAAGCACTTTTAAATCTGAATTTTACTCAATTCTGACCGTAATGATTCACTCTTCTTGTCAAGACATTTAAAAAGAAAAAATGTGCGTTTCTACAACTCTTATATACTCTATAAATACTCATATATAAATATACTATGATTTATGAGTACAATTTATCTTAAAATTCATGTAAATTGCAAAAATCTAAGCTGTATTTGCTACTTTGGTTTAAAGATTTGAAAAGACTTAAAGCTCAAATCAGACGACTTGGAATTTCACTTGAATTTATGGACCAGTGACTTGAGACTCGACTTGGACTTGCCTGTATTTGACTTGGGACTTGACTCGGACTTTAGGTCGAAGACTTGAGATTTACTTGAGACCCGCAAAACGAAGACTTGGTCCCACTTCTGCTAATTAATACCAACACTAGCATCAAAACTAGACACTTTGAGCAGGTATTGATACTAAAAAGACAGAAATGAACTAGGGATGTAACGGTATCCAAATCTCACGGTACGATAATTGTTGTGATATTTTAGACGGATTCAGAACAGAATTGTACATACTTTATTTTTTCCCTTTTTAAATACTGTGACTAGTCTTCAGAGTGAAAGAAATAAGATTTGAAGTGCTTAATAACAGTAATTTTATTATGTAGTAAAGTAAGCAAGGGATCATGGCCTATGCAGTTCCCTCTTGCAATTCAATATATTATAATCAAATCAAATTAAACTTTATTTATAAAGCACTTTTCATACAAAAATGTAACACAAAGTGCTTTACAGAGATTAAAATTAAATAAAATAATTAAAAAGCTATAGTGATGCACCACGATACTATTCTGAGAGTTCTGATGATACGATATCACTAAACTGAAACTTTCCTGAATAGTTTTAGAATGATCTTGAGTTTTATCAGAACAAGTTTAAGAGCACTGGGGGTTTACACAGATAAAAGACCACATGGAAATATAAAAGAAAGTACTATGAGTTAAAGGTGCACTGTGTAACTTTCCGGAGTCTGTCACCATGGAGACATTGTTGCTTTGCCTTGATTTTTTTCACAGAATATAGTATTAAACTTGTCTATTTCTATGGAAGCAAGCACCAAGCCAATTTACAAGTTCGATTTGTGGAGAGGTGGGCTTATTTATAGAAGAATACATATTTTTCAAGGTTTTCTTTTATTGTAAAAATAAAATAAAATATCTATAATTAAATAATAAGCAACTTTAATGCCACACTGGACAAAACGGTGCTGGACTTGTACAAGGAAAGTTACATAGTGCATCGTTAATGTTGGAAATCACATTCTATTGTCTAAAGAAAGAGAATCAGTATTGAGTATCGAGTTTATTCCTTAGTATCGAAATTGGGTTTGAAATTTTAGTATCGTAACCGCATTAGTTTAGAGACACTTCACCTGTATGTGTATGTGTGTGTGTGTGTGTGTGTGTGTGTGTGTTTACGCGGTTTCTTCCATTTTGTGCGTTAACGAGGCTTGATTTTTCCGGACTTTCCAGCGAGCGGTGACCAGGTCATGAGATAATCGGGTTGGTTCTGGTCCGTTTGCTTCACCTGCCTGAGTCTTCGCCACAAAGATCTGCTCATTAAAGTTCAGTGTTACTTTACACCGACGGGGCGATTAGGGGACTTCACGTGGGAAAGAACCACTCCCCAAAGGAATCAGACCCATGCAGCTGTAAACTTCTGTTAAAATTTATGTTACTGCTGCGACTAAAGCTCACGATTATTCAATACTCTAAAATCAGCTCTTTTTAATTTTTATTTTATTGTTAATTTTGTTGTAATATTCGCTTAGAAATGTCTTTAAAAATCTAGGTTGAAATACGGCGACTAAAGGCTTTGAATTTGAGAATATTAATTATTTTTTGGCATGAGTTTGTAGTAGATTCAAGTTTAGATCAACCAGTTATGATTTTAGTGTTTTATTATTTTTTTATGGACGATTGTTTATAGACACTAGAGAAGCTAAAGGCTGATCCACTCTGCAGATGTTTGTGGGCTGATATGAGGCGTCAATTTTGATCATTTTCAGCAAATCGTATTAAATTGCTACAAATTCACAGCACTTTTTTATTAAAGTTTAGTCACATTTTGTGCAGTTATCACAATGTGTTTAAATCAGGGGTGTCTAAACTTTTTTCATCAAGGGCCACATATCTAAACACAGACAAAGCAGAGGGCCGATCGAGAGCCGTAGACTGGTGCTCAGTACAGTTAATAATTGAAATATGTGCATGTTTAACACGTTAGAATGAGCCATCAGTCTTTATTCATGCTCCTTAAAATCACACACTAAATATTCAACACTGGCTTTATCAAGGTAGATTTTCAAAAAACTTGCAGTAAAAAAATATTTTTTTAATTGATGCAAGGTAATTTGGGCCAAATCACCTGGAAGTCTGAGGGCCAAGAAAAATGTGTCTGAGGGCCGGATTTGGCCCCCGGGCCATAGTTTGGACATGCCTGGTTTAAATGAAATGAAGTGTTCAAATAGAATAGAATAAAATAAAATAGAAAGCCTTTAATGTCATTATACAGTATAATGACATTCAGAGCTGCTCCGTCAAAGTGTAAGAATTAATAATAAATAAAACAAATGAACAGTTCTCATTCAGTTTGGTGACAGCTTTGGGGAAAATTGTTTTTTTTCATCTGGGGAAAAAAATGAAGCATTAAGTGTATTTTTAGGCGGAACGGAATATCGATCTGTGCGGGAGATTTAAGGCCGATAGCAGATTGATTAAAAAGTGCAAATATCGACTCAATATATGGGCCAAGCGATATATCAATCAATCAAACTTTATTTATAGAGTTTTTTCCATACAAAAAAATGCAACACAAAGCGCTTCGTCAGCCTCTAGTTTGTAGAGTCCAGATAATGATTACAACTATCAAAATAGGATTTTATTTTTTTTTAGAGCTGATTATAATCACAATTAGTCCATTTATTGTTGCAGCCCTAATCAATTCAGTTCAAGTTTATTTATGAAGCACATTTAACACAACATCTGACCAAAGAGCTTCACATAAACGTCAACAAAATAAAAGAAACAGTTACATAAACATATATACAGACAGTGTTGGGGAGTAACAGATTACATGTACCAGAGTTATGTAATCAGAGTACAAATTATGAGTAACTGTATTCAGTTACAGTTACTGTTTCAGTGAGTGGTAATTGGATTACAGTTACTTTGTTGAAATAAATGGATTACACAGAGGTATTTTCAAGTTTTCACATTATTATTATTTTTTATTTTTTTTATTTAATTTTTTCGGTAATTCCACTCATTGCTGGAAACTAAACCAGGACTAAAACCAGGACTAAACCAGGGCTAAACTAGATCTAAACCAGGACTAAAACCAGGACTAAACCAGGGCTAAACTAGATCTAAACCAGGACTAAAACCAGGACTAAAACCAGGGCTAAACAGATCTAAACCAGTCTAAAACAGGTCTAAAACAGGTCTAAACCAGAACTAAAACCAGGACTAAACCAGGGCTAAACTAGATCTAAACCAGGACTAAAACCAGGACTAAACCAGGGCTAAACTAGATCTAAACCAGGACTAAACCAGGACTAAACCAGGCTAAACTAGATCTAAACCAGGACTAAAACCAGGCCTAAACTAGATCTAAACCAGGACTAAAACCAGGTCTAAACTAGATCTAAACCAGGTCTAAAACAGGTCTAAAACAGGTCTAAACCAGGACTAAAATCAGGTCTAAACTAGATCTAAACCAGGTCTAAAACAGGTCTAAACAGGACTAAAACCAGGTCTAAACCAGATCTAAAGCAGATCTAAACCAGGACTAAAACCAGGTCTAAAACCAGGTCTAAAAACTAGATCTAAAACCAGGACTAAAACCAGGTCTTAAACCAGGTCTAAACTAGATCTAAAACCAGGGACTAAAACCAGGTCTAAACTTCCCACCTTCCCGACACTGTATACAGAAAACATGTGAAAACTGCAATAAAAACAGGAAGTGAACCTGACTCGTACTAAATGCCACAGAGAAGAGGTGAGTTTTCAGTCTCGTCTTAAACTGCGTTACAGACTGAGAGGATCTGACAGGATCTATTCACTGCTCTCTAACTTATAACTACATTTAGGGGTTTGCAGTGGAGTTGAATATTTCTACTGTTACACATTTGCTCATATTAATTCATAAGAAATGTGGGTTATGGTCACTTAAAATACTGAGATCATTTTACAAATTAACGTTAGAAATCTGTAAAATCTGTAGAAATCAAGCATTTATCTGAGGACTGACGATTTGTTGTTTTAAGTTCAGGTCTGGATGTTACATTTTTATCACCAGACGGAAACAGTGACTTTGAGACATGATGATTTCTTTTGG